GACGTCATCTCCGGCGACAGCTCGGCGGCTCGGGCGCGCAAGCTCGCCGGCGAACGACGGCACTTCGGCACGAACGGAGGGCACCAGGACGATGCGGGCATCACGGCGAACTCACCGGTGACCAAAGCAACGGCGGAGGAGCAACGGACGACGTCGGCGACGAGGTCGAAGCGGCGGAGACCTTCGGCTTGACGACGACGGCGGTGCTCCGGCGGCCTACAGCGATGGCGAAGGGGCGGACGAGGACGGCGGCAACTTGGCGACCACGATGGCGACCTCCCCGAGCGACGACGACGACTGGAACAACGGCGAAGCATGGCTGGAGCGACGGCGACGACAGCGGCGCGAGGTCCACGGCGCTAGGGCTCTTCTGACGGCGAGAGACGAAGGCGAGGGTGGCGGCGGGTAGAGGAGACACCGGGTCCTGTTATAGGGGTTGGAAGACGGCGACGAAGGCCCATGGCGACCGGCGACGAGAAGGAAAGGTTAGGGTTCGGAGGAGAGAAACCGATCCGAATCGACCTCGAATCCACGGATTTCCAAAGCGATTTAGACGATGATTCCAAAAGAGAAAAGGTAGAGGAGATCCCGAAGATCATTTCCCCTCTATTGATTTCACCAGAGAAGGAAAGGCGCGGCCGAATTTGGAAGGAGACGGCGGCACGGCTCGGCTAGGGTTCGGGCGGTGGCGGCCGGAGGAAGACGACGGGTCCGACAGGTGGGACCCACCTGTCAGCGACCGAGTGCGCTCGCGCGGGCGGCTGCTGCTGTGGACTGGGCCGACTTGGGCCGGGGAGAGAGAGAAAAGATTTTGGGCCGACTTTCGGCCCAAAGCCAAAAGAGACTTTTAAAAAAAATTTTCAATTTAAATTATTCATGAAATGCAATTCCATTTATTAAAAATACTTCCTTAGCTCAAATAAATCCCAGAAAAATCTAGGAATTATAGAATTAAGCAAAGTATTTAATGAAATTTTATCTGGCCCCATTTTATATTGGAATTTATTAATTAAAATTAGATCTTCTCTTCTAGGCTTTTAAAATAAATTCTAATAATTCCATTTAAACAACAATTTATATATTTAGGATTTTTAGGGTGTGACACATACCAACATTGCAATGGGATGAAGCAGAACCGGACATCTATAAGGACCCAAATCCTGCAAAGGACCCTGTTGAGGAGACCCTCGTGAATGACACGGCCAAAGATAAGTCTGAAGTGCCTAGAGTACTCAGAAGCCACGACTCCAAGAAAAAGGATGAACACAAGGAGAAGTACATGGTAAGCGTCTTCAAGGGGGCAAGGAAAGAGCACTACTAAGAGGGGATGATGATAAGAAGGCAGCTGCACTATCCGGACCAAAATACGTCTGGACTGATGACTGTCCGGAAAACTTCGAACTTGGCTAAACTTTTCTGCCGGATTGGGCACTTGATGAGGTTCGATGGGAGATGAGAAGGTTTCATACATGGTACATGGAAGCCAGCAAGAAAGGCCTACCTAATTTAACTATTCAATCACCGGCAAATGCTTTTGCCGGTGAAGGATTCTTCTGGCTTGATTTCAATGATCTGCACGCCATCTATCGTCGGGAAAAGACGGACATAAACTACGTTCCTGCATGGTGCTTGTGAGTACAAGTGTTTATTTATTGCACGAATAAGTATGTGATCAATTATTAACAAATTGCTTTTGTAGGATGCAATCCATAGATGCTAAGAAGATCGGTGAACCTATTGGATTTCTGGATCCAATAAAGATCTGTCAAACTCAGCATACCATGACATTATCACCAAATTCTGACCAGCTCAAGGGCAAGACTCCTGCAGAGATAGCGGAATACAAGAAGAGCTTGCACAAGCAGAAGATGATTATTGTCGCACAGTGCATCGGACGAGCCTTCTTGCACTTCCAAAATAAGAGAGTCATCAAGGCCACGTACAACTTCAAGTAAGTCAAGTAGATTCATTGTACATACCTATGTTATTTCATATGTGAGTAACTGCATCGCCATTACTATGTAGCGATCATTACATATGTTTCCTTATCGACCCGAATGCAGGCGTAGTGATGGTCCTGGACCCCCTTGATTATTCTCACATGACGTATAGACATTTTCTACAAATCTTACAATAGTAAGTGATTCTCATACTTGCATGCCTACTATTAATGTTTTATAATTAAATAACGGTCCTTAATGCGAAACTTTTGAAAATTCCATACAATGCGTACAATTACTACAAGTTCAAGGGTGGAGAACAAACTAAAACAAGGGAGAAGCTGCTAGTACATACGTATTGCCCGGTATGTAATACTTATAACTCACTTAATGTATTTCAATTGTTTTATTAATTTCAAATTTTAACTATTTCCTTCTATCTCATGAAGTGTCACAAGCAACCTAGGGGCACTATCCTCTGTGGGTACTACGCATGCGAATACCTCCGGGTTACTGGGAGGTATAGGGTTAACGCAGAGGATGTAAGTCTCTCGACTCAACGTACAAGTCTATTGGACCACTACACTTATGAATCGTACTAATGTATTATCATTCTTTCGTGTAAACAGTTGCCTAGTATTGAGCGTCGAGAAGGATTCGACGATATGAGCATTAAAAATGTGCAACAGGACCTCTGCCACTTCATCCACCGCATGTGTTGTCATGTCTTAGGCAAGTTCTTTGACCCAGACAACATCCTTGATGAGGACACAAGTAGCTCAGATATAACCATGGTTACCTTATGTATTAATCAAACAAAGGTGAATATGTTCTACATTCGATTTACTTGTTATATATTTGAACAAACGATGCTACACAATAAGTTTTGTGTGTTTTCGTTTGCAGAGGTACTTGCTTGAACGAAAGAAAAGAGGCCGAGCATAACGAATGCATGGAATATCCAAGAAGTTGATTGGGGACCAAATCAAGACCTTCTCCAAGTCGACTTCGAGTGCAATTCGGAGCCTAGGACCAGTATGCACGAAAACGGGCGCCCGGGTCGCATACGTGCTCTGATTGGGGCATTCTTTATATGGATGGAAAGCTAAGAAGATAACCTTTCCAATGGTTTTTGTCCCACGTCCAAATTCTTTCCAAGTCAACGGAAATCAACCGAACAAGTTGACGTCCAGAATCTATCCCGGTGCTGCGTCACCGTATTTGGGCCTTTGGGTCGTGTATCATGTTGGAACCCATTAGGGTTGTGTCAAGAGGGGATTGCACGACCCTAAACTCTATATATCAGTAGTTGCCATCACCTTTAGATTTTGGGTTTTGCTTAGATTATTCTGTCGAGAACAGTTTCGCCGCTAGATCGGTTTGTAAGACCCCAACTTGTGAGTTTAATCATTCATCTATAATTTTGGTTGTATTTTATCTCATTCTTGTTTGTGTTCTTCGATGGGCAAATAGGGATTAGCCTTCTTGGCGAGGTCATCCGTGTTTCGACACGGGTGATAACCAAAGGAGACGTGGTGCTGCAATTGCGGGGCTCAAGAGCGTGCGCGTTCAAGAAGCCGGATCAATTTGTGTCGCGACTTCGCCCAAATCGTTGTTTATCAGAACATTTCAGAAGATCGGGAATCCTAGTGCACATCAATCCTGGCTACAAGCGATGAATTCAAGGACCTTCGGGAGTAGAGTAACGCGATGCCATGACATGGTTATTAGTTACAGATTACAGTGTGCATTCGAAGTGAACAATATAAATTAATGTACAATTTTTTGTATAATGCTTTGAATGATACTTTGAATGCAATACATGTCAGTATTGAATGTTCATTAGTTACTATCATTAATTATGAATTAATTAATTAATTGCAATATTATTGAAAAAATTATTAATACAAAATTTGCGGCTATTTCAATTCTTGATGCTATTTTCCTAGGCGGTCCTATTCTATCATTTCGGGCGGGCTTATCTTATCTTCCCAGGCGGTCAGTACTAGCTCCTAGCCGCCTGGGAAGAACATGTTCCCAGGCGGACCGGCCGCCCGCCTGGGAAGATATTCTACTTCCCAACGATTGTCTACAGGCGGAACGCCGGTCCATCTGGGAAGGCTATTTTTGCTCGCCTGGAAATACTTTTTTCTAGTAGTGCTCACCCCTTCAAAAAAAAATTTCACACCTATCCTATCTCTCTCCTTCTCCAGATATTTCTCTCTAACTCTCCTCTCCTCTCTTCCTCTCCTCTCACTCTCCTCTCCTCAATCTCTCTCTTGCCTCCGAGCCGGGTGGCGGTGGCAAATACTGTGTTTTTTGCAAACGCAAATCTATTTCAAGGTACAGTGCAGCAAAACTGATCACATATCATTTTCTTATGAAAAAGATTTACATTAAAAACAATGACCTGATCATATTGGTGGTCTTTGTTGGACATGGTGGCACGGTCTATTGTATAACTATACCAGGATTCTTTTATCCGTCGTAGTCTGGACTACGGATACAGACACAAAGCTGTGGTCCTAAGTGCATGGATGTTGCTATAATCAAAGTTGTTTATGGGCTTATGGCATGTACTGTAATCTAGATGTAGATAGGGCGCCAAAGGAGATAAGCACAAGGTTAGGCCATCATGTTGTATCCTAAGTAAATGATTGTTTTGTTCATCTCAATTTCAAGCATTCATATGATTGGATACAAGAGTATATCAATCATACTGAGCTTTTTCAGTTGGTGCTTAATAATCTAAACAAGTACTCCATCCTTCCAAAAAAAAAAGACAACCTAATATTCGTATGTGACACATTATATTACAACGAATCTGGACATCTTAGTACGTGGTGGTTTTTTTTAGGACGGAGGAGTACATAGTAGTAGTGTAGTACTGTATCAGCTTAGCAAATTGGCTCCATTATGGCCGTGTTTAGTTTCCTCCCTATTCCCATCTTTCCAGCACATCATATCACATCAAAAATTTTTCTACACACATAAACTTTCAACTTTTTTTCCAAACTCCTAACTTTCTTCAAACCTACTAACTTTTTTCAGAAACTAAACACACCCTATATTGCTCCTCACGAGGCTCGTGCTATCATGATTCTATTTTTCACGACACTACCATTGACTTCACCAAATCGAAGTCTTGGCTGCCCCTTGGTTTCAGTGTTTTTGCCGCATGAATGAGTTGCTTGTCCATTCAGAAGTTTCATGGAAACAGCTTAATTAAGAGCTTGGAAGCTAAAGCAGGGTTTTTAATCTGTAATCTTGGAATCATCTTCTTGTTGTATTTCTGCTTATTCTTTTTCTTTCCTTTCTTTTCATATGTTCTTGGGGTTCCCAAGATGGGAACGTGATCAGTCTACCTTGAGAGTGGCTTTCTTGAGGATGATCAGCTAGGCAATACATCACTTAAGAACGTTTCTATCCTTTGTGGCGATTTCTCCAGTTCATATTGGGCATTCCTCCGAGGGAGCGCTTGGATTAATCGCCGAGGTTTTGAGATGGTAAGCAGGCCGAATCATCGTTCAACCGAATTCATCTCATGCATCTCTATTTTTATCCTATATTTTAGCTTGTACCACACATATCCTTGATTCCTTATACACAGCCTGAAATTGATTCGCTATCAGAAAAGTTTTTAGTTGGGGTACACAGGTACCAAGAAAGCATAATGCAGATGCATAGAATACTTATTGTTTGTTAGATGGATCACAATATGAAGATTCCAAAGATGTTCCCCTCTAGCTTTACTTTGCCAAAAAAATTTAGCTAAGAAAAGAAAGACAATGACATAAACGATAAACCATACTACAATTTAGTATCTGCAAAGTTCAGGAACCAATGGCACTATCCAGCGCACTATATTTCTTCAGATTCCTCTCTGATGACTGTTCTAGTTCGTTATTTGCGCTCGAATTCTTAGTTCTTACACGATTTTTTTTTCTTTGCCAGGATGCTCTGATGAACCGGTCCCGCGCCTTCGCGGAGGCGGTGGTGATCATGGTGTGCCCGGTGCTCCTCGCCGTGGCCCTCAAGAAGGTCGACCTGAAGAGCCAGGAGCGCAGCCGCGCCGTGCCGATCTTCATGCTTGTCATGGCGGCCCTCACCCTGGCATTCGGCACCGTCCCCTTCCTGGCTCTGTCCCTCTCCAAGAGGTTCAGCGACCACAGGTGGAGACTCCCCGCCAAGGCGACCACCTGGCTGGCTCCCTCGTCGTGCGCCTGCCTCGTCGGCCTCGCGTGCTGGATCATACACCTCATCCTCTCCGCGCGCTGGGCTTACGCGTTCCCGGCCATGGGCACCGTGTTCGGCCTCTGCATCGTGATCCACTCCGTCCGCTACTGCCGTGCAGGGGGTGACCTGGCTAACCTGGTACATCCTGGTGATGTGTTGCATACTACCGATGAGTTAACTGACAGAAAAAGGAGAGAGGCTTTGCAGAAGGCGATGGAAGGCAAGCTGGACGAGTCGCTGGAGTTCTTGGCGGGGGTCACGGCGCTGCTGTTCCTGGGGCTGGAAGGGCTAGCGTTGGAGGGCCAGATCAATGGCGGACAGGGTCGTCTCGCCGCGCCCATGGGGCTATGCTTCTTCGCCTGCTTGTTTGGCGCGTGCTTCGTGCTCGTTCAGACCATTCCGCCTTCACCACCACCGTCCGCGACCGACACAAGCCTCCGTGCCAACATCGTGAGAAATCTCCCTGCCATATGTGGCATGTTCATGGCTTGTGCCATCGCCGTGGTCATGTTCTCGATCATGGTCGTGCTCGTGAAGCTACTGGCGCTGATGCTGCTCTCGCCGCTCTTCCTGATCTTGCTGGTACATGCATTCGATCTGGTCTTCCCCGGAGGCGGCGGCGGCGGCGGAGGAGGAGAGGACGATGTCGTGAAGCCGGCGTCGCTGGAGCTGAGCAAGGTCGCGTTCACCGGGTTCCTGACCGTGGCGATATCTGCCAGGACGACCAGCCGTGGCCCGCTCAGCACGTCCACCCAGTGGTTCCTCATCTTTGCAGCGTCGGCCATTGTTTCGGGCTTCGCTTGGAGGCTCCTGACGCAGGCCAAAGTTGGGAAAAGTGCCAATGTAGCTTCCTTCTGCACGCATTTGTGCATCGTGCTTGCAACGGTGCCATTTACAGTTATGGCCGGACAAGCTCTGCACTGATTATTTGTTTGTACTACAGGGTAATTTGGAGGGTTATTTTGACAGGCAAAAATTAATAACCCTTTAGTTGGGTTTGGATGTTTGGTCCAGAAAACTTTTCTCTTCAGTGACAGGAGTAGGACTATACTATACCGTTTAAAGTGTTCAGACTCAATACGACATAATTTTACCTACTCAGTTATTTTATAAAAAAAAAATTAAAAAAAGACCTCTTTTTTTACCTGAAGACTACTTTGGATTGAAGTACTGAAATACATTTTTTTAGCAAAAAAATAAAAAATCTTGACATGGGATGATCAGGTTACTATTCATGTTTTGCCCTTTTGTTATTTCTTCCTCTCCTTAGGCCTGGTTTAGTTTCAACGATACATCTAATCTTTGGACACATGCATGGAGCAGTAAATATAGATAAAAATAAAACTAATTACACAATTTGCATGGAAATCACGAGACGAATCTTTTGAGCCTAATTACTCCATGATTAGCCATAAGTGCTACAGTAACCCACATGTGCTAATGACGGCTTAATTAGGCTAAAAAGATTTGTCTCGCGGTTTTCAGGCGAGTTATGAAATTAATTTGTTCATTCGTACCCGAAAACCCCTTCCGACATCTGGTCCAACATCCGATGTAAAACCCAAAAATTTTCTTTTCACAAACTAAACAAGGACTTGGTACAAGCCATATCTTGTGCATTAAAACAACTGGAGAAAGATTCCATGTAATCAACTCGCACTTCAATTTCCCTGAAAATACTACTCTACAAGTCACTTGTTCAATATTCCACCTCATAAGCCATTTTATTACAAATATTTAGCCCTACTCAATTTTGTTGTAAAAACCACTCTAGTATACACATGTTTAGCTGAATCAACATGTTTTCATAAATTGTGAGCTATCAATGTGATTCATTACCATAGTTAAATACTTCTAAGAGTAGTATCAATGCTTTTTGGAGATTCCATAAATATAATTGTTGACGACAGGTTAAACATTATCACACTAAGTCTCGCTATATGCAAAAAAAAAAATCAATGGAACTTGAAGAATAAGTTTAATGCAAGCACTTGAATAAGATTGACTCGACTAGTTTAACAACAACAGAAAAACGAGTTGATTTCGTTAAGCCTGTGGTTAAGCAGTCGAGGAGCTAGAGGCTAGAGAACGCGACCGGAGCTCACGCAGTTTTAGTAGACGGAGTCCTCACGGAGATGACCGATGCAGGCGGTGGGGCTAGACGGTGTTGGAGCTAAGAGGACGGCTAGCAACGCGACCGCTCTGGGCAGTGGGAGGGGGCAGTAGTGGGCTTCCGCCTTCTGTTTGGTTTCTTTTTTGAGTAAATCCCTTGTGTACACATGAAAACTCACCTAATCCCTTCTATACCCTCGAATTTTACACGATCCTCTCTGTACCCCTGAAATTTTGCTTTGATCCCTTCCATGCCCCTCCCGTTAGGTTTCCTTCATTTTCACGTTATGTGTGGTTCCAAATGTCTAAAACACCCTTGTAGATGGAAGAGTGCCAGCTAGAGTGGCATCAGGAGGGAGATGGCCGGCAAAGCCCGCGCGGCAAGAGGAGCGGCGACCGGTGGCCCGCACGGTGGGAGGGGCGGTGGCCGGCGACGCCCGCGCGACGGGAGGGGCGGTGGCCGGCGGCCCTTGCTGCGGGGGCGCGGTGGCCGGCGACACCCACGCGGCGGGAGGGGCGGTGGCGGCGTGACGGCGGCTGGATGACGGCGCGCGCGGCCGGAGGGGCGGTGGCTGGACGACGGCGCGCGCGGCCGGCGGCCCGTGCGGTGGGGGCGCGGTGGTCGGCCGCCTGTGCGGCGGGATGGCGGTGGCCGGCGACCCTTGCGGCGGGAGGGCGGTGGCCGGCGATGCCTGCGCAGCGGGAGGGCGGCTGGACGACGGCGCCCCGCGCGGCGAGACGGCGGCTGGACAACGACCTGCGTGGCCGGAGGGCAGCGGGACGGCGGCGTGCAGAGGCCATTCGCATGGAAGAGGATGAGGGAGAAGAAAAGGGGAACTTTAGTTTGGGTTGGCAGGGGCATTTTGGTATTTTCTAAAAATTCTGACAACACAATACACGGTTTGAGCAACGTATCTAATGGAAACTTAACGGGAGGGGCATGGAAGGGATCAAAGCGAAATTTCAGGGGTACACAGAGGATCGTGTAAAATTCGAGGGTATAGAAGGGATTAGGTGAGTTTTCATGTGTACACAAGGGATTTACTCTTCTTTTTTGGTCTCGCCTCGCATTTCTTTGCTTGGTAAAGTCTTGATCTGTCTAGAGATTTGGTTTGTTGGAGGGTATTTTAGGATTTGTTTGTGCCTTGCACATGCATGCTCACTAGTGCTAAATAAAACATAACATTGGAAAAACCATTATATAACACTTCAGTTTTATTTATTTCCCTAAAATATAATTCTAGTATTTGAAATTAGTAAGTATGAAGTTATATCCATCTTGGACTCTCAACTAGTATTTTCTTATTTTAATCTAAAATTGGAAATTAATAAATAAATACTCCATCTGTTTCACAATGTAAGTCATTTTAGCATTTCCAACATTCATATTGATGTTAATGAATCTAGACATATATATCTATTTAGATTCATTAACATCAATATAAATGTGAGAAATGCTAGAATGACTTACATTGTGAAACGGATGAAGTATTAACTAGATGTAATTGCGTCGATCTTTTAATCTAATCTAAAGCACTACGATTTAGAAAATAACCATTGTATTGCAACGTACATGTAGGCTATGGCGACTAGTTCACAGAAGGGTTCTGATAAAATTATTGGGGGGAGAGGGGTTGGGTTAATTATATCTAGCTCAAGGGTGTGAACCAGCGGTCCAGCGCGGTTACTGAATATGCTTCAATTCTAAATTTCCGTGAACAGGCAAGTAGCCGTGAAAAAGACAGACCAAGACAACGATATTCACAAAGGTTGTCTTACTGTTGATCTATTCTATTGCAGATATATTTCTTTGTCAAGTTTGATTACTGGCTCGACATGGGGAAGTAGCTGGGACGTCTCGTCAATGGAGCAGCAAATTCTACACCAGCAGCGGAGTTTCCATCGTACAAAAATAGTGATTCTGAAGTGCTGAGTGCGAACTATCAATGATTTGGTAAAGTAAGGCCTACTGATAGTCTGATATCGATGCATATAAACCGTATCATCTCTGATGTACCTATACATAGTCAGATCCAATTAATACTGTCGAAATTTTCAGAAAATTTCAGGTAAAGATCAGGAGAGGAGAAATTCGCCATGGAGTTAGAGCTGGTGTATCTGTATCCGGTGACCTTGGTGCCGGCAGTCGTCGGCCGGTTCAGCATCCTTGCCTCGCCGTTGCTGAAGGAATTCGAGGAACACAACCTGCAATTCACCAGCATAATCCCGCTCTTCTTCTTCTACTCCTACATCAGCAAGTTCCTCTCCGACCTGCAGGGTCAGCCACTGCCTCTAGTCAAGCTCTATGCCCGGGCGCTGCACCGGTTTACCAGCTGCAGCAGCAGCAAAAGCCGTGCTAGCTTGAGGATCTACATGGACACTGCCGTCGTCGTGGTGCTGTCCTACCTGTCTCTGCTCAAGATCAACCTGAGCTACATCTGGCTCGCCGTCTTCCCCACCCTCACGCTCGCCTTCATCGCCGCTCTGTTCAACGAGGAGCTCCGCGGTGACAGGAGAGCCGCCGTTGCTGAGGAAGACGATGCAGGAGGAGGAAAGATCACTCGCTCGAGCTCAAGGCGATGGTGGTTGTGCCCTACTGGGTGCTATGCGCGATGGGGCAGTTTCATGGAGGTGACAGCTTTGCGGTGTCCCAGTTTCTTCTCTTCCTCGGCTCCACGCTGGGGGCGCTGGCGCTAATGGCGGCGCGGCTGTCGCAGCTCGCCGGAGCAGCACCGGGCTTAGCGCCGGCGTCGGAACTTCTCCGCAGGGCCACGCTCGTGGTGATGCTGGTGACGGCGCACGCTGCGGCCGCCGAGCTGCTGGGCGAGGCCACGATAGCGCTGCTCTGCCTGCCGGAGCTCGCGCCGGCGCTCTTCTGGTTCACCCTTCACCTCGACGGTGAAAGCTCGCCGGCCGCCACCATCGACGGCATCAAATCGCACAGGAATGTGCTGTCCGTTCTCGCTGCCGCAGCCGTCGCCAGTGTTGCGTACCTCGCGGCCGCCATGGGTGAGCGTGGCCTGTCCGTGAGCACCATCACGATGGTGTCTTGCGGCGTCTCAGGGCTTCTGGTCCGCTGCGCTGTGGTCGTGCTCGGTCAGTGGCCGGGGCAAGCTGAGACGGCCGGTAGTACTGCTGCCTCTTTGATGGAAGTTGTCCTAGTGCTCAAGTTTTGGGGGAACACTTTGCTGGCAGTGGCAGCTATGCTGCTGCTGCTTGCGTTGCTGACTGCTTTCCGGTTATGCCTTCAAGAACCAATGTTCGCGACAGTTGCTAAATGTTTCAGCGACTACATTGACAAGGTCCCCCAAATGATAGTTTAGCTGAAGGGGCACGTTCATGTATTTCCTGTGTTGACATATCTGTGACTTCTCAAGACAAACAAAACCGCATGTTCATAACACAGTGCCATACTTGCAGGTACCTTAATCCATATACTGTTATCCATGATTCGCAGCCCATAGTCAGAAGCCCACTACAATACCGTGACACAAACGGACTTGTTTTTGGTAATCATCAGGCTGCTTAGCGATATATAGCTTGCCTACCTAGCACCTCACACATAACTACTTGTAGGAAGTACAAAATACATGTGTTTACCCCTCCCCTGTTCACACATAAAACTGCTAGAAATTGGCAAAAACCCTCCACACACAGATTTCCAACAGACTCGTCGGACAAACATCCCAGTTCCACTTTGATGTTGGTATTGTATCTTATATCAATTCCTGTAACTACTTATATGGCAGAAAGCAAAATGTTTAACATTAATATATCAGAAAGTATAACTAAAACAGGAAGACAAACCTAATAGCACATATATACGTATCAAAATTCCAGCACATGCATGTTGGCAGTTTTACCACAATAATTGTATTAAGCTAAACCCAGAGTACATTAATCCACCTCTATACAAACAAATTTGGAGTTTAGCCCTTTTACATTCATCAACAAACAGAAAATATAGAGTTTATCTTAATCAGAAGTGATATATCAGGAATTAGAAATACAGCACATAAAGGAACTTTGGGAAAACATGAATATAGAAGCAGATCCCTTTGATGCACCTAATGGTAAAAAACTGATGTCAAAAGATTAGGTATCAACAATATGCTCAGAAGTAGTCTCCAAGAGGGAGCATAGATCAATTCAGTTTTCAGGCCAGTAGTATCCAAGAGGGGGCATGAATCCAGTTTTAGGACTAACCTCTTTGAAAGCTGGGTACTAGGTTGTGAATAGGAGAGAAGCAGCAGGTCTACCAATAAGTTAATAGCAACATAGCTTATTTTAATACTGATCATACACATAGATACCACCCAAAAAGAAACACATTACTTTCCATATTTACAGGAAACGGGGTAGATAGCAGCATTACACCACCTGGGAATGCTGTCCTGGGGATACAAGGACATTTTCATCGCCACCTTGTATAAACCTCTCGCAAGTAGCATACCATATTCCTTGACCCCGTTCCTCGATCCCATCAACCCAGGAACAGAAACTTTGAGCCTATGTTCTGGTCCTTAACAGTGGGATCTTAACTGATTTGAAGAATCATACCACATGTTGACAAAGGATGGTCTACTAGAGCTCTTAACATAGAGTAGTTTATATTCAGATAAATAAATGAATAAGACAGTCTTGTGAGCTTGGTTTTTGAAGATAACAATCAAGGCCAACCCCTGTTCTGCTTCAAAAAAGATAACAAATGAACTTACCCCATCTCTAATAAAGTTGTTAACGATTGAAGCCTCTTACACCCCCAAACAAAACAACAACAAAAAAAAAGAACCCTACAACTGTTGCCGAAGCCTAGATATCAACCCTAAACCACGAAGCCAGACATTTTACACCCCTTTCCATAAAAAGAACTGGTTAAACCGTTAAAGGACCCGTAAATGTCTGGATTCACAGCTGAAGAGGGACAAAACAGACATTACTGTTAACATATTGTCAGTTCAAGGCGTAAAATACCACAAGTTAAAGATAACTCGAATTCCCTGTTTATTCTCCCTTTTCATTAGTTACAATCATTACCATATTGCTCAACATATATGAACCATTATTTTATTTACACCAATGAACTAACCGTAGATCAAAAGGCATAGCCAAAAATCAGACTGGTATGGCAGTACCTGCCTCAAAACAAAAGTATCATTCAGCAAATAATATTAGGACAACCACAATTCTTCAATCATCCTTTTCAATCATTGTAAGCATGCCTAAATAACAATATCTGGAATGGACATTATGGCAAACTACTATGTATAAGAATCAGACCGCATCAGACTACATTGTAAAGTAATTTGTGTCAAGAAATTCAACGAAAACAAAACACCACATTCAATTGTTCTTCTATTTCAGTTCGACGAAACAAAGATGGTCCCCCAAACCCATAGAATCACAGGCGGGAGAGCAATTACCCATTTTTTATGATTAACTAAGAAAGAAATACCAGCTTATCAAGTATTCGAGTGCAATTGTTTAACTATTCTATCAGAGATGCAACTCTTAAATCACACTTCTGAATTATTTTAAGCATGCCCAAATGCCAGTAGCTGCAATGGAGATTACAGAATACTACTATGTACAAGAATTCAGACTGCATCAGCCATCAGGCTACATCCTAAAGTAATTTGCATTAAGCAAGCAATCTTGAGTCCAACAAACGAAGATAAAAGGTCATGTTCAATTGTTCTTCAGTTTCAATTCGACGAATTTGTGGCTGTTCCACGATTCGCCAGAAGCGAGTACCACGGAACAGAGATCCCAATCCCCCCAACCTATAGAATCACAGGCAGGTACATATATACAGAAGCGGCAGCGGATTTCAGACAAGAGTGACGAATCCGCCGACACCAGAGACGGGATCAAGGCAGGAGGAGACCGAACCGTGCGAACCCCACCCACCCTCAGCAGACGGTGGGGACGAAGCGCAGCGCCGCCACGCGCGCGGCGAGGAGGCCCGCGAGCCTCCGCACGGCGAACTGGGTGCAGTTGGAGAGCGCGATGAGGCACATGAGCTCGTACACCACCCCGAGCGCCGCCTCCGCCGCGGACCTCCGCGGCGCGGGCACGTCGGGCTCGCCGGACGAGTCCTCCCATCCAGCCCCCGACCCAGACCCGCGGTTCCACCACCACCCCCCTCCTCCTCCTCCACCCCCGCCACCGCCCGGGCCGAAGAAGCCGTCGCCGTCGTCCCCGGAGAAGGGCCCGCCCGCGTCGGAGGGAGGCTTGGATCGGCGGGTGCGGGGGCGGGTGCGCGCGCGGCGGCGGACGGTGGCGGTGGCCGAGGCGGAAGGGCGGCGGCGGATGATGGTGGTGGAGGAGGAGGTGGCGGTGGCGGGGGGGACGGGCGAGGAGGAGGCGAGCGGGCGGAGGAGGAGGAGCGACAGCGGCGGCGGCGGCGGCCTGGAGGAGGGCGCGGCGGCGGAGATCTCCATGGTTGGTGGGGATGGCCGCGCGATCGGAGAAGGGGAAAAGGAAAGGAAGAGACGAAGAGTAGGCAAGTGGGGGAAAAGTTACGTGTGGCGGGTGGTGAGTGACGGTGAGGAGAGGAGAGGAGGACGGGACGGGCACGCGGCGGCGGAGAGGGGGATCTGCGTGGGCCGTGCCCGTGGTGGGATTCCGTCCTCAGGATTCAGACGCTGCTGGGATCTTTCTCCGTCTCGTGTCTGGTTGCTACACCATAAGTTTGATTTTGTGGTTGTGGCAAACCGGGAACGACTAGGATTTATTATACGGACAGGTTTATAGTGGAGATTTGGGTTTGAGCAATCGGAAGCAATCCAATCGAGGCAGATTGAAGGCGGGATAAAGCTTGAGACCTCGTCTTTCCACTTATGTTTACATTTATATTATCTAAAATTTAAATTTTTAATCTTAAATTTAGTGATTTTAAGATTTTTTTTATCGAAGTTTTTTCAGTTTTTATTTTTAAATCGCTGAAAACACGTATATAAAAATTTTATTCACAAATTACTTTTCGTTTGTAAATATGCCATTTCCGATGGCTCCGTAACCCTCGACTGGTTTTTCCGACAAGTTTTGGTGAATATTTTGCCCCTAAAACTGAACAGCACATTTTCATTACTTAGACATACATGAAATTACATTCATATAGTTCAAGAACTATAGAAGAAACGGTTAGGGACTATGGATTATACATTAAAAACACACCTACCGTCTCTTCACATATTTACATTATCCCTTAAAAATATATACAACTAGAATTGATGTCAAATATATATGAGTTCTATTTTATTATAGCCAGGCTTGGAGTAATAATTTAAATAAATGTTGGTGTCGAACAGTATACAATAGAATGTAGATGCGTGATCAACTATTGCATCACATTGAAAATTTTGATAGTACATTTTCTTAATGATAATAGAAGTTACTCCCTCCTAGAAAAGAAACCTCGTACTGGATGAATGTGACATATCCTATTTTATATTTATAGTACTAGAATGTGTCATATCCATGGAGGAAGTACCTTTTAGTCATATCACGTCACATCGGCACAAGTGTACCGCTCTTCTCAAGTAAGCTACAAACTAATTCTAAAATGTTGTTAAACTGCTTATGAACGGTTAACTTATTATTCTTACCTACAAAGTGCTTGCTCCTGGAGTCTTAGGTTTCTTACATTCACCGGTCGGTGTCCTTATCAACGTTAATATAGGACTACTGCATATTTCAGTCATGTTAGCATGGGTCGTTACGTTGTCCTTTGTTCTGTTTGAAATATCCAATATTATTCCATATAGGCTCAAAACATTATTCGTATCGTTCATCATATATATGTTAATACATGATTACAAAATTATGGAAATATGATAATCCTAAACATGCATTGAGTCAAATGAAAAAAAAAAACAAAGCCATTGGATAACTCCTGTACTTATCACAACCATCAATGTATTAGGGCATCCTCAATGTGGTATGAAAATAGTCCACAGGCAATATAATATTTTATTCAGCCAGCTAGCAATATCATGTAATAGTCCATAGTAGAAAGAAAATAGCAAAAACTACCCATTGCACTATGGGTAGGCAAGAGCACAAAAAAAAACCATAGTTGGGCAGTGTCACTATTCATAAATAATAAACAAAAGTTTCAGTAACAGTTGCACAGGTAGCCACTGGCTTTCTGGCCATTTCGCCTAAAAAAACTTTCGCCTACAAAAACTGCACCAAAATACACCAGCTCCATTCATCAAATTTGCTAGAACACAATTAGTTCCAATGAATCCCTCCCACAGAAACATCTCAAGTTTCACAAATTAAGACTCCCCAAACCAATACTCTAAGAGTAGTGACCATATCTCACCTCATACACCACAATCTCAGTTTATCTTTACATCACCAAATTATCCACAAAACTTTAACCCTTTTGGTTCTCCAATAAACCAGCCACCTTTGGCCACTCTCCTCCAGGATTTTTTTTGAAGAGAACACAGCAGGGGAGGCCCCTGCTGTTTGAATAATTTTATTAAAGAAAACAAGAACAAAATTACAACAGATTAATCCAACTTATGATTACATCGTGATATCTCGCAGTAATTCTAAACAACAAAAGGAAGAGGTCACCCTTTAAGAGTTGCCTCCAAGTGATGAAAGAGGGGATCTTTTGCTCGAAGATGAACCCATTCCTTTGTTTCCATATATGCCAAGCAGCATAAAGGAATTTCTCCTTGAACAGCTCCCCTGATAATCCAATTTGGCCCTTATAAACATTGCTTCCAAAGGGAGAGTAGTATCCCATGTAATGCCTAAAAGACTCCAACAATTTTGGGCAAATGGGCATAAAAAGAACAGATGCATTAGGTCTTCAACAGCCGCCGATTGACAAAGAACACAAGAAAGATCACAATCCGGAGGAGCACAATTCTTATAATTTAGCATGAACTTGGTGTTCAATCTATTCATCATGAGTAGCCACCCAAAAACATTTACTTTTGAAACCGCTTTGCACTTCCATAACCATAGAAAGTGGACTGGTTCCTCCAGGATTTCAAGGCGTTCAATACCAAGGGAGCTGGTTGTAACATACTCCATCAAGCTTTCAAGGTTTTCACCTACAAGAGAGTTTTGGTCCCTTACCAACGATGCAATTTGGAGATATTGCCAACAGGCCACCATCTTTGCTGCAATTTAGCTATTCGTCTGGTGCTTGGTGCTGCAGCCAACACCTCTTCCCATGGATCTGAGTCTACTTCTCCATGCCTTGCAAGAGAAAACGAGAAACAACATGTAACCATTGATGAGTCAAGCAGTAGCAATGACGAAGAACCAAGGCGGCATACACACATAAATTGGATTGAAGAAGAGAACATACGACTTCTTAGCTGTTGGTTACACCGCTCAACTGATCCTGTAAAAGGCATCGACATGAAATCAGAATATTACTAAAAAGCTGTGGCTGATGAGTTCAACACCAATGCGCCAACAAATGGACAAAGAGGTCTGTCAAGCAACAAAAGACGCATTGGGGTGATGTGAAGAGAAAGATCACAAAGTTCTATGGAGTACATGGTAGAGTTAAAGCTACCTGGAGCAGTGACATAGCCGTGAACTCAGCCCATGTGATATTCGAAAAAGAAAACAAGGACAAACCTTTCACATTGGAGTATATGTGGAGGGAGGTCAAGGAACTGCCTAAATGGTGTAGAATAGTCCAAGAGAAGAGTGGAAATAAGAGGAGTTGGGGGCGACAGAGAGGGCTGGTGCAATGGCAGCGTGGGGAGGGACGAGAATTGGGCCCAAAGGAAATGAGAATTGGGGAGAATTGAGGGGCTGCTGATTTTTTTACCACTGTGGGACCCTCCTTAATTACTAACAATGTGGTGGTTTCAACTTCTATAGACTAGTATGCCAAATACATTGACGATGCCCTTATGTGTAGTTATCATTCTTTATGAATTACAACAAAAGCACAAAATATTATGTGCACTTATCGTTCTCTTTGTCCAGATAATATCATATAAAACCATTATCTTTTTAATCCAGATTTGTAAGGTAGAATCGGAGCAACAGGGACATGTTTATTGACTTATAGATATTAGTATAGATATTAGCTTTTTAATCTCTGAGGTCTCCATTTTTACTGACTCGTTTTAATAAAAAATGATGCTCCAGTGCTTTCTACTGGTAATATAATAGTACTAGTAGAAATGTTCTAAATCGTTCGTTATATATTAAAGGTAAATTAGTAATTTAATTACTAATGCAGTGATTAAGGGCAACTTTGTCATTTATGTTTTTTCTTGGGCTAGATCGATACATGGTTATCCATTGTACTAGCATCGCTCATATTCCATTAGAAAAGTCAAAAAGTAGGAAAAAAATGTGTAGTCAGTGCTAAACGATGATTATACCTCTTCGCACCTTTTTTTTTCAGAGAATAAGCTCCTCCACGTTTCTACTATACCGCTAACTAGAATAATACTATAAATATATTTTAACCCTTCGATCAAATGAGATCAAATGTTCAAATTGCTTTCTACTACCAGCAAGAGAGTACCGTAGTCGGGCTCTTAATTATATTACTCATGTATGCTCTAATCTAATGTTTCTAGCAACAGGCCGGCACTAACATCATTCGATTGATTTCTTTTTTGTTTTGAGGTTGCTACGTGCGCATATGCCCCCGCACACTCACTGTGTTGCCAACCAGCACGCGAGCTAGCTTACTCGTGCTCGGCGTGTGCCTCCACTTTGATCAGCACCATTTGATTGATTTCTCTCATTTTCTAATAATTTTTACCAACCTCATACGTTTAAATTTTATTCCGAAATAGTAATATTTTTATTACTCTCTCATTGCTTTCGGCCTTTTAATTGAACCAGATCGTTACTTGAGAGCAAATGTTCCAATTTATTATGGCCGGACAGCCGGTTCGGTCCGACCAGTTCCGAATAACTGTGCTATATAAGTTGGTGATTATTGCCAACCGCCTTAATTAAACTTCATCTTGCACTCGGCTGATTCCTGTCAGTCTGTACAAAATGGTTACTCTCATCCAAATTCATCGATCCACGCATACTCATACCGGCAGCGATCAATCATATAACACAGCAATTGTATAAATCAAAATGCCTTGCACTTTTGGGAGATAATTTTCATTGTAGGCCACCGAGTGAGCTCATGCAGTGCTGGCTACGCTCATCTGAATGAGGAAGTAAGTCTATATTTACTCAACCATGAGTCTAATTTTCCTCAACCGTAAAACCAGATATAACATACCCTTAAATATTAAAACCAGATTAATTTACTGATCCCTAAGCGGTTTTGACGGTAGTTTTATCTCTCTTCTAGGTTGCCCAAGGAGGAGGAAGGAGGTCAGCAGGGGTAAGCAGGGAGCTCCTATCGAGCTTGAGCTTGCAGCGGTAGTGGTAGTCTGTGAGGCCGTTAAGCTTAAGTTCACGCGACGATGACTGTAGAAAAGCTTGAGCTCATTTGACGGAGAAGGAGCTCAACCTATAGAATCCATGTGTCGTCGTGGTGCCACATATATAGCAAAGAGTGGAGAGAGTATTGACACGATAGTAGAAGGCGAGGAAGCCATCGATGGCCAAGATTGTCACCTGACCGACAAGGGTAGGTTAATCTAGCAGATTGAGATGGCAGCGACGGCCTCCGAGGGCTCCGGGAAAACTAGGACAATGAACATGGTGGCTTCAATTGCTCCGGGAAGGCTAGGATGGTGGAGGTGGAGGTGAACTATGATGATGGCAGCTATGCAACATGCGGCAGAGGTCAACCCCGCGGCCAGATCCGACCAAACCCCACCCCGATCAAAACCAGCACCGGCAAGAAGGATCTCAAGCTCTGTGGCAGTCTCAACGAGCTCAATCCCTACACGTCCAGCTAGCATGCCCAGCTTGTCAGTGTTCACCACACTAGGGAGGAACTCGGCGGCCGTCATGCCGGAGTGCTAGAGCTCAATAGAGTTGTTCCCAATAACTCCTTCGTTCCTAGTCCAATTTGATGGATCGCCGCCTATGCCAATTGCGGGTTTGATCATCGGCCTCTAGCAACTTCATGGTTGTCACTCTCCTCCAGCTCAAGCTCTCCACCTCCATCTCAAAGTGGTTGTGCTGAGTAGCTCGAGAGAAGAGATGGAGAAAGAGAGAGCGTGGAGGGGTCGACGAGGTATAGTCAATGACATATGAGTACCACCATTTTTAAAAGTTCTGCCCTAACAAATTTCTAGCCACAAATATTTATCTCTTATTGGCACCAATCTAAAACAACGTATCAGCTGTACCTTACTAAAATTTATGTTTGTCATTACCAATATTAGGTTAGCATAAGATTAAAACCCTACTCTACTAATATGACAGCTAGAACAATACTTGTTGGGATCACCTGGGAGTCACTGGCTCACTGCTAACCACGTACAATCTATTGCATTGTAAAGAACAATCAAATAATCAACTACATATGTTAGGACTATCTTATATCTTTAGCTCTATTGGGCTTGTTAGGTTACTTTGTCCCATGCATGTTATACTTACAAGATCCCCCACGGATCCAAACATAGACCCATCCCTGGCCGATATGATTTTAGGTCCCCGCCCAAGTGCACATATATGCCCCCCTCCCCCCAGGGGCATATCCTCATCCCATATGGGAAAATTTCCATCTGTAGCAACCACATAAATATTGAGGGGACTATATATGAAACCAACAAATAAATTTATAGGAGTTAAAATGATCATGCATTGACACTTCACTTCCTTAAAAACTTAGGGATGGATGATTGGTGAGATAGGTGTTCCTTATAATTATAGGGGAGAGGCTATGTGATATATGTGGGAAAAGGAAAAAATAGTAAATAAATTCATGGGCATGGTTTTATTCGCAAACGATTGAAATACTATATGCTTTAGAAAAAGAGACGGGTGGAGCGCGTGAAAACAAACATATCATGCCAAAGCGAACCCTCTGGAAGGACAAGATCACAACGCATAGAAGAGAAAATACTATATGCTTTAGAAAAAGAGACGGGTGGAGCGCGTGAAAACAAACATATCATGCCAAAGCGAACCCTCTGGAAGGACAAGATCACAACGCATAGAAGAGCTATAAAAGATGACCCCACAATTAGCACTAGGAGCATCGATGAATTGAGAAACTTCTCTAGCTTTGTCACCCAAGCGCTCAATTTTTTTACTTACCCCTCATCTCTTTTGTTTATACTTAGCTTTCTGTGTTTCCCATGGATCTCCTTCTTCGTTGATGGATATACTATTGTGGTTGATACTAGTGTTATTATTGCTTATAGATACAATTGATTAATGCCATACATAAAAAAGACAAGGTAATTCTATTTTCTCCTTATCAGTTTTTCAACTCAAATTCTTGTTTATTGCAACCAAAAGTTATTATGTATTAGTTTACTAAATCAAATGTTTTCTCTTTTGATAAGATGCGGGTGAAGATCAGGTCGAAGACGCAGGAATTTTACAGGAATTTCAAATGCGACGATTTAATTATTGTACGGACCGGAACCATGAAAATTCATGGGTTTCAAACAAGGTTCCATCTACATCATCGTGCATGCATCGAGCCAAGGGCTATATCTACCTACAGCTATGTAAGTCCCTCTAGTATGTCTTGTCCAAACAGATTCTAATTTGGCAAAGATGCATTCCCCCGTCTAAAAAAAAACCCCCTCAAATCAAGTCTTTTTTTATGGAGGGTTGAATTGTTCCATTTATCTTTCATTTTTTTCATTAATTTTTTCAGATGTAATATTGTACTCTATGTTCAGGTAACAAGTTTCGTGTTTTTACATATATATCGATGTACAACTAACAGTATTATATATGATTAACCTATTTTACTTGGGTGTTGCTTGTTAGTCTGCTGCTAACATACAAAAGCAATTAAATGTGTAGTAACTGAAAAGGTGGTGAGTCATGGGATAGAGGATATGTGGCACACAAACTATATAGTAGCATACAAAATTAATAAAGTATTAACATACAAAGCTTGTTAGCTATCTGCTAACATATAAGAGTAATAAAGTAGCAAGTACGTGGAGTATAAGTTATATAGCTAGGACCACAATAAACATTACATGATCTATACATGGCAATGCATGTGAACCATGCACTTACTGCAAGCGGCAATCCAGAGTATATGCGTGGACAACCTTGGTATTAGGTAGCTAATTACCAAAATAAGATAGCTGCTTGCGTTACACAATTTACAAAAGACATGCTAGAATTTAAAGTAAAATACAAAGAGGTCTAGCAGGAAAGGAGCCGAAAGTTTGCTTAGTTTGCTAGCAAGGGATCAAGTACTTATCTACCATTCCATTGACCCATGCATATGTTAATTAGTATTGGCTGGAAGCAAGCTAGTATATATAGTATTAGCATGCCTTGACGATGAACGCCTATATTAAAGTAAATAAAAGCAAAACAAATTCCTCCATACATCATGCATGCATCTAGAGCTAACTGTCCATCGATCATCTAGCTAGCTTAGAGATAGATCAGTATGGCACGTCAATTCAGCATAAAGATACATCTGTATGGTATATGAGAAGACAAACATATGGCTGTATATATGGTTCAATTAACAAGCAAATCAAGATAAAACAAAACTACATTGCTTTATTTTGGTTGTCTTTAGCAGAGAGTAGTGTGGAATGCAAGGTTTGGCCTTGTGAGCCCCACAGATATTAAAGCTACCCGTTTCATTGAAAAAGATACACGCAAATCAAACCCACAAGAAACTAATAAACTTTTTTCTTTCTTCAAATCTCTTTTGTTTTCCTTCTCAACATTATAGATGTCTAGAGAAATCTGACCCTTTTGGGCCTATATAAACCATCCTACCTTGCCTAGCATGTTCATCCTCACATCATATTGTGTTCATCCTCATACCACCAACCAATTAGTGCCAGTAGCACATTTCTGCAGTTGTAGTTCAAGTAAGGTGATGCACCTCCTAGCTTATTATTCTTGCACTTACTACTATATATTGGTTTTTGTATTGGTACTGTAAATAGTATTGCTTTGAGAAAAATGTTATTATGTTTGCAATCAAGCTAGCTATCTCTTTCTGTGGGACTGTAAGATCATCTATGATATTTTCATCTTTTTGCTTATTGTTAAACTAGAAAACTAAGAAAAGATAGTAACAAAGTGTATGTGCTTAATATTTAGGTATATCATTCAGAGCAACAAAGGGAAGCAATGAAGCAAACTTTGGATGTACATAGATCGTTGAGGCCACCAATGCCAATGGCTCAACAACAAATGGATGAATTTTGGAGGGACCGACAAAAGGAGATTGAGATGACAAAGGACTTCAGTGAGCACATGATCCCTATGGCCCGCTTGAAGAAGATCGTATCTTCTCAAAAGGGTAACATGATGATGACCTTTGACATGCCAGCGTTCTTATCAAAGATGTGTGAGCTCTTTGTACAAGAACTTGCTGCGCGTGCATGGGCATGTGCCCAATCTCATAACCGATGCATCATACTAGACATGGATATTGCTGAAGCCGTAGCCTCTACTGAGTCTTATGACTTTCTTGTTGATATCCTCCACAATCACAGTGTGAAGCAAAAATCCACTCCTTGTTCTTCCACCAAGCGTTGTAGGTTAGTTGATCAACCTTCTACATCTCACATTCCCCACCAACATCTGCTGCCACAGTTTGCTCCTACATATACTTTGGCCATCCCTATTACTCCTAGTTTAATGCCATTAATTTCTCAATGCACACCATCCTCTTTTCCATCCTTGCCACAAGAAAAGTTCCCATTGATGGCACCCACACCCATTGTGAATAGATCAATGTTGTTTATCAATAATATAGCAAGGGGTCTGGGCTTACAAGGAAACAATATCAATGCAGTTGCCAACAATAATATCCTAGACAATATTGTTGGTTGTAGTAGCCCTGCGGTTCTTGCAAGTATGATGAATCCTGCTTTACTTGGGCCTTCAGGGGCACCACTAAATCCTCCAAACTCCCAATCCTACAACTGCACAATGGATATAATTAACTCCAATGATGCTTGTGGTTCCAATAATAGTAGCGTAATTGTTGCAAATCAAGCAAATATTGCTCCCTCTGGCCATTTTTATCCCATTGCCCTTCAGTCCTCATGCTCGACGTTCTTACATAGTAACAACAATGACACGATTACTGCTATACTGGAGGGTGTAGATATTAGCGACATCATGCATGTTACAAGTGATGTTGATGCTGCTACAAAGGTTTTTAGTGGCCAAGAAGAACAACATGAGAAAGAAACTAATGTTGAGTGGCATCATCAAAATGAGATATATGAAAGTATTGATATAAGAATCATCAATGCTACTACTAGAGATGGTAATAAATGTAGTATTAGCTGGGATGAATTGGGAATGGCCGATGATTCGTTGCTAGATAATTTTTTGGAGGAGCTTCAAGTAAGAAAGGATGATGTTTCGGACACCAGGATTGCGTTCAACAAAGACCCATTCCTTGATGATGCTGTCTTGTCAAATCCAAGCACCAGTAATGGCAACAAGTAAATGAGGTGGCAAGTCTTATTCATCCCCTTTTGTAACAATGAAGTTGTAACATTCCTTCTTGTTTAATATACTGTCTTTTGTTTTGAGAGAAATAAGAGAATTAGAGAATTTATTATATGTTACAATGGAAATTTGAAAAGCATATGCACATGTATGGTGATCCTGAAGATGCGATTTCAGGAAACAACAACGATGACACTAGTCGGTGACGTAGTTGTTCCCCACATATGAGCTATTTCTACAAGGGAGCTCCTATCACTGTAGCTATAGTCATGCACCCCCATGGTGCGCATGCTGTTGCTGTTGTCGATGTTGACCTCATGCACCTCTGCCTTAGACCCCACTTCCAACTCATTCTCTTGTGACTCCAAAGGCAGCATGCTGTTGTCTTTCTCTATCGTCTGTGCCACGCTACTGCTCACTCCCGGGCATGGGCCTAGATTGGGATAACTGTCATTGCCAATAAGAGATGGAGCTCGATTAAGGCAATTTCATCTATTAATTAGAATGTTGAGTCGGTTTGTTAGAGATTTGGTAAGAGACCGCCGTATATGGTCTTATTTGTATTAACTTTAAAAATAATAGACTGAGTTTGTACTCGGCATATAAATATGAACCCCATAGCATTGAAATAAGGGAGCCAATCCAATATAACTTCGGCGCATCGCCATCCTTTTACTTTTCTCGTTTTTAGTGAGTTCTTCGCAAGAGGAAACCCGTCTCAATGGCCTGCGCTATCGGGGCTAACATGTTAGGCTCGATATCACGAGTCATTGCTATCATATCTCTTAGTTAATCTATTCTTAGCTTCTCAATTTAGCTCTATCGGCTGCTGCTCGCTTTAGGGTTTATGCTGGTTTCGGTTAAATTGTCTTGGTAGATTAGATTAGCTAAGGCATCTACCATCCTGAAAAGTGCCTAATTGCTTGATTGTTTAGATTGTATGTTTCTTTTCATACTTTGAGATGCATCATTTCTAGTCGTGCTTAGAACCATGCAAACTAGTCTGCAATTAGACATAATAAGGATAGTATCGGGGTTTCAGCCGATCTTACCTAATATGCATGTTCACTATCTGTTTCATGTATATTCACCACTTATATAGATAGATCATTTTATATAAGCATATCAAGCTTTAGTCGGTATCGGCTAGATTCTTGCACCTTCATGCTTGATTTCTGTTTGATATGTTTTTATGGATCAATTTGTTTATATAAGTTTGTACTAGAGTATTAGCTAGTGCATTATCTTTTCTGCTCTAAATATTGTCACATAAGCTACTTTCATAATATTGTCTTAAATCAATCTATTAAACTCGATAGATAGTATTATAGCCGATTAGGTGTGTTTAGGGTTTATTATTCTTTGATATATCCAGTCCATAGCCGATTTGGTCCAACTCCATCGGCTAAGACCATCAACGATATGCTATCGGCCTATCGGCCGATTGGCTATCGGTCGACTAATTCTGCTTTTATTCTTTTTTGCTGATTGCATGATCAAATCAACTAGCACGCCCTTGACACACTTGAGGTTAGCCTTGGACCTGCACAGGAGTTAAGCAGATATCCCAGGCCGCCGTGCTTTCACATCAAAACAAGCGCACCGATAAGTAGTACCTCTCATCGCTCATGACCAGCATTTCCCTTTTTTTTTATAAGAGATCAGTTTTTTCTCCATCGGCAACCCTTGATTCACCCACGTTACATAGGAAGTTAGGTGATGGGAGATTTGCTCGAGATCTTGTGATCAACGACATCGTCTTCCAGGCTGACGTCCCTCGTTGTCCTCAACTTGGTCAGCCTCGTCCACCATAACCTCCCTGGCATCCTCCCCGTGGCCAGTCAGATACAGCCTCAATGACTGACGTCTTGACCAGTTTGCTTGTCTTAGTAGTAGGGTCCATAGGGGTCGATGTTTGTATTCCATCCTCACAATTCAGCATGGGAATCTTTCTCCGCGTCATGTATAGATGCTATGCCACTTGTGCTTCTCGTATGTTGATCATGTTATTGCCTATGGGCTTTTGCACAACTTGGGTACCATATAGATACATATGGGGCACTTTATAGTAGATATTATGGTTTTGATGATCAAAATCCTAAACCAAGCGACATCACACGACTTGGTTTTGGTTTTTCATGCGAATTTGGTGAACATTTTGCTATCTCAATCTGTAATTTTTATATATCCCCTTAAACTGAACCGTTGAGTTAGGGTGCGGCACCTCTTAATTCTCTTGCAACCAATTGCAAAGCTAAAGACATACATTAACTTACAGTCATATAGTGGACAAAAGCTGCATTTTTCTAATATAAGTGTTTGCTATTTGTTGTAGCTTTGTGAAACATCTAGCTAAAAGTTGTAAAAACAATAATTTTAACAATATGTTTGTAGTTTTATGAAATTTACTCTTTATTTGACTCATTTATGCTCTAAATCTAAAGTTTCTACCAACATGCACATTACTTCTAAGTACTAACATCACATCATTCGATTGGTTTCTGTATAAACCAATGATTGCGTACTACTCTTAGGCCCTCTTAAACTTATTGGCTTGAACTTTTAAGCTAAAGTTTTAGCTTATAAGATTTACTAGATGTTATCCAGTGTGTTGCTGCAGGATAGCTACACATATAAAAAATTGAAAATTTTCCGCTACAGAAAAGAATAAAGCAAAGCGCAATTTTGTCGACGTTTGCGATCGCGACTACGGTATTTGGATGGTATGGGGATCGTTGGTACTAGGGTATATGCAAGATTGAGGTAAAAGAGATAGAGATAGAGATTTTTATACAAGTTCGGGCCCCTTATCTGATAGGTAATAGCCCTACATCCTGTTGGCAGAAGCCGATGTTGCTCTTTATTCATCTGGATCACACAAATACAATATTTGGGACAACCTATTTAGCTGTCGTCGACTTGGCGGCTAGATAACCAACTCATAGTTGATGACAAGGTAGTCTTCCTCCTCGAATCTGTACTCGGCGAGATCAGAGATAGTACTAAATCCCTCTTGCCGGTTTCCGTAGGCACCGGATGGGGTATAGCTAGGCTAATCTCCGATGTCGAGATCTAACGGCTTGTGTTGGCTTGTGGCTTTGTGGCTTCGTAGATTGTGGTGGGTGTATCCCCTCTCCACCTAGGGGGGCTTGTATTTATACCCATAGGTGCCCCCTTGTCCAAGTAAAACTAGGGAAACCAATATGGATATAATCTGATTAGTCCGTCGTTTCCATATAGAACTCTACTCGTCCTTCCTTATCCAGAACTCCTTCTATATACGAGGTTTGTTTCCATATAAGACATGGTATGTGGTGGGCCCTACCGAGCTTAGTCGATTACTATTGGGTATGTGGTATCCATAATCCTGACAAATTTGTAGTTAAAAATTTGAATTAAGATTTTAATGTGTTAGCCTATCAATTTTCTATATACCAAAATCAATAAACAGTGCCAACTACATAGGCTTGCAAGAGAAACAACAAATTCCACATAACCAAGCAGACAACAAAGGTCAAATACACTAAGGATCTAGTCAAAAAATAAAATAAAATAAAATAAGCATCATATGAAAACGATGAAAGTGCATACATATAATTATTAGTGCCATGCATATTAATCCCTGGAGAAATATATACTGCCATAACAAATTTAAGGTATTACATTAAACATAAAATTAATTAAAGACTAATGTACATGAGTAAATGGCTCTTTGTTGATGGATGAAATGGTTGACTCCTTCAACCTTGTTGCAATTATCATTGAACCATATAATTCTCTACAGAATAATCGATGAAACATGAATAATTTCTTTTAACAGAAAATAATGTTTCAAGACGTGTGAGCAAGCAAGCTAACCTGTTAATTAATGGCAATCCATAACGGGGAAACGCTGACCATGGCAGGGACCTAGCTAGTACACAGTAAGCAAATGTTTGGACACAAAAGGAAATCAACTGAAGCATGGCAATGCAAAACAATCTATATATTCTACGCATGTCTGTGAAGTTAATTGAAGATTCAAGGCAATATATGGAGTCAGGCGACTGACTTGAGTTTATATGGTGTTGTTGAGGTTAAGTAATACATGTTTAAATGCCGTGAATAATTTCAGAAGAAGATTAATGGGAAGAAAACAATAAAGAGAATACAAATCACCGGATGGACTGTACAATTGTACTAAAAAGATGATCCATGCATGAAGATATATTTAAGTTGAAGTGCCATAATTGTTCATCAAAACGTACCAAAAATTAGAGAGCAAAGGGACGCAGCTTGTCTGCTCCCCCCGTGTGCTCCCATCCGTACTCCCGTATATGTGGCAACATCTCCATCGTTTTGGCCCATGTACCCGATTACAAACATAAATATTTTTCTATTATAATATAATTATGTAAGATTTTGTTGTAAAGATTTAATTGCAACGAACACAATGGTATAATTGGATTGTAGATCAGATAAATAATTTGAAAGAAAATTTTATAAGAAGAGAAAAAAGCATGCATACTTAACGCTCTTATGCTTCTCAAGTAAATCGGATGGCTGGCAGATCGAGAGACCTCTCGTTTTAGATTTTACGTTAACAAATAATGATACAGTCTTCTTATTTTGTCTCTTTTCTTTTACTTTCGGAAATTTCGGCAGCAGTTTTTAAATTTGAATTCAAAATTTATTTGAAAATTTCGTCCAAAATATTTTTGTTGCCCCCGGATTAAAAAAAGGCAAACCAATAGTTGAAACCCTAATTGACACTACCCTTAAATTTAAGAACTAATCATGTATATTTCACTCTCTTGGAAAAGTTTGAGATGAAGACGGGGAGTAGTTTGTAATCCGTACATGACTACTCTGCTTTTCCACCTCTTCTGCCTCCTATCATGCATTCATGCGAGCACGCCACCTTTCTCTCTCTCTCTCTCTCTCCCTCCCTCCCTCCCTCTCCCCTCTTCTTCCCCTTCCATTCCCGCAAACTTCGCCAATCTGCAACCCAGCCAGGCTCCACACGATTTCGCGAAGAAACCGAAATCCACTCGGTTTTCCTGCGGTAGCATTGGAATATGGAAGAGGGATTCGTGGAATCAGGATCCTTCTCCCGCTCCTCCTCCTTCGTAAGTGCGTCCGAAATGATATCTCAGAACAGGGAAACCATCTCTTTGCTTGGTCTTGTTTGATTGTTCTTGGGAGGTTTCGTTACCCTCGATCTCGGTTTCTTGCAGGGTGGGTTCGAGGAATGGATGGCGCTGGTGAGGAAACGCAATGGGAGTGGGACGCCCTCCTCGTCGTCTCCGCAGCAGCCCAGGTCTGGTGGATTTGCTGCCCAATCTTCAGTCAGGTATATATCATTTGTCTCCCGTTGATGTATTAACGATGAAAGATTTGCATCTCCGTTGTACTTTCGTTTTCCATGTCTGACCCTTACATGGATATAGATTGTACTATTAGATTAGCATGATTCGTATTGTGATATTTTTTTTTTGTAATTGTGTTTAGATTATCACCAATTCACCATATCAGAGAAAATGAACAAGATACTTGTTTATAGATGTACTAAAGCATGATTTCTGCTCATTCATTGTAGAAGGATACAGTGACATGATTTCAACTGTGGCATTATGGGCACGATGTTCTTAGATTGCCTCATTGGATGAGGTTCTTGATAAAGCTCATATCATTCAGTATCTGCTAATTAATATGGTTTCTGTGCACTATATTTTTCAGTTCAGAAGGACTAGAACTTGGTCACCCTTATAGCGATGCGATTGACTATAGCTTATCATACCAACTACCAACAACAAGCTTATGGGATAGGCTTGGGAGGGTTACTATGATGGACATCGAGTCAAGTGACTTCAACTGGAGCTCTCTCTCTTCACTGCACCATACAAAACATACTGATACTAGTACAGAACCCTACGAGGATGACACCAGCAGAAGTTTTGAGGTCTATTGTTTTCACTTGTATCTTTTACAGATTATGTTTTGCATTGTTGGAAAATGTTGTCAATACTAGTTATAATATCATTTTTTTTAGAAAACAACAGCAGGAGCTCTGCCGGAATTTGATTAGAGATATAAAAACATAGTTATACTGTCATTTCCCAACAAAATTTTATTACCATATACTTTTATCTGTTTTCGAATTCCATTACAAAGTGTACATCTTTGCAACTGCATCGTAGATATGTATCTATCAGCATAAGCCTAAAGGCCAGTGCATTATCCTGCGAGAGACTTCATGTCCATTAGCATTCCCCTTCATATGAATGTTCAAAATAAATATAAATTTTGTTTATTTGTCATGTCTCTAGCTCATTTTCTACATGTATCTTTCTTCATAGGTTACAGTAAATTCTGGAGGAGTTGTTTTCATTGCATTATTCAAAACATCTGAATATGATGACCTTCCGTCCAAGGAGACTGCAGCGGTCATTAAAATAGCGCCTTCAAGGATGGCCACTCAATCAGAACGCTTTGGCTATGAACTTGCGAAATGGCTTGGAGTGAGGACTCCTCAGGTGAACACCCACTTTGCTTGCTGGAATTCTGGTTAACCATAAAAATATTACATTGCACTACTCTGTTGGCCAATGCAGGGCAGAGTGATTCACAACTTCTCATCTGAATGGCATCAAATGAAGGATGCAGTTGAGAACGCTCGGGATGCAGCGATATCTTCTTGTGATGAACTCGAGGAAATGATTTGCACTGAGATGCTAGAGGCGCTCGAATTGAGCCGATGCTTATTCCTAATGAAGTATACACATCAAGCTACCAGTAATGTACATGACGGAAATGGTCCTTCCTTAACATGAAAGAATTTTTGTGCTGTTTTGCAGTTATGTACATGGCTCCCCTCTGCTAGAGAACACAATGCCATTTGATTCACATGATTCTGCTGAAAAAACTGCTGAAGCTTTAGGAAGGGTCTTGATACTGGACCTTGTACTGAGAAATGAAGACAGGTTGCGATGCCGCCCCCTTGGTTGGCGGGGAAATTACGCAAATTTACTTGTTGCCGACAGGAATGCTTATGCAAACCTCGATTCATTAGATGATGTTTATGATTCTGCAATCATTCGTTACAAGCCAGAGATCATCAGAAGCCCTCAGAATCGGAAGCCGAGAAGAGCAGTTTCAATAAGTGGCAGTATTGGCTCAGATACATCTGATCTCATGTTGCCGGACAATCCTAGTCAGCCTGAGATTTCCAGCTTTCACATCATAGCCATTGATTCAGGTGTTCCACGCAGACCGCCTGCTTGCAAACGGGCGAAAGATCAAGAGAGCTATCCAAAGCTTGTGGAACTTACACTCAACAATTGGGATTACTCTTCTAACCTTTTGTTTGAACTGTCATTTGGAAAACTCGGTATCCCAGGACCTGAAGAATTTGATGTGTCATCTGATCTTAGTTACCATTCTCCTCTGTCCGAAAGTGATATGGTAGCTGCGGTGAATTCCTTCCGAGGAGGTTTTCGTAGTGCTTTGAGGGACCTTCAACGATTCCACATTTTCCTTGTCACACTTTACCAGAAGCTGGATGGTCTATTGAAAATCTTTTTCAATCTTATGTATAAAGTATTAAATGAATATGACAGGGAAGACGCTGGTTCATCTGATTCACCGTGTTCCACAGAGACACACATGGATTCACATGATTCTGAAGTTCCAAAGCATATGCGTAGGCCTTCCCGTACTTTATCCCGTGACAATTTTGACCTATCATCTCCTTCCAGTCGAGAGAACTTTATGATTAAGAATTTCAAAGGAAGCAGTGATGCTTCCCGTGGATTGCGGCTGACAATGAAACTACGGGATTTTAATAAGTATGCTAAGGTTAACACCTTTTGGAGTGCACATTTGAAATTTCATTTTCTTAAAATATTACATGAGCGCCTGTCTAATGTCTAGTTTTTTCTTCACACTTTTGATGATCGAAAATTTTCATGCTGTCATATCAGATGGGAAGATATAAAAGATGTCAAATAGGTCATCCTGAAAATAGCAAACTGGATGAAACCAAATACCTGTCAGTAAATGGTGTCAGCATCTTTTTTTAAAAATGAAATGGTTTCAATATTTGGAACACTAGTTTGATGCTAATTGAACATTTAATTTGCAATACTTACAGATCAGTTCTCGACAATTATTTCCATAATGCAGATTTTATGAAGATTACCTCTTGTTTTTCGAAACTTCATCAACTGATTCTATTCATCATGGTATAAAATATTTACAGGCAGACGGTGAATTATGCAAAGAAATAGAACAATGGAATGACATGCTCAGGACAGAAGTTGTGAAATTGTGTCAAGACAACAGTTTTAACACGGGTTTCTTTGAAGGAATAGATAATAGCATTGCAGTTGATGCTTATGAATTGAAGGTAATCCTAACGTGCCCATCTTTCAAGCAACTAACTATACATCGCAGTAATGGAAAATAACAGGAAATTTTGCTTACAGGTTCGACTTGAGCACATTCTTGAGAGGATATCATTGATTTCTGATGCTGCAAGCACCGAGCGTCCCTCTCAGATCACGGATTATTTGTATATTGGTGGTGCTCTAGCTGCTCGGTCAACATATACACTTAAACACCTTGGCATAACCCATGTTTTATGCTTGTGCGCAAATGAAATTGGGCAAGCAGAATCTCAGCAGCCTGATCGTTTCGACTATCAGAACTTCTCAGTAAGTATACCTGAGAAAGTTTGAGGAAAAACTTCTAGAGCTTCGGACTAATTGTTTTGTTTCCTTGCAATGCTTCATTGTTTCATTTCTGTAGATTAACGATGATGAAAATGCAGACATCAGTGATGTCTTCCAAGATGCTTCAGATTTCATTGATTATGTTCAACACCTACATGGCAAAGTACTCGTCCATTGTTTTGAAGGAAAAAGTCGGAGCGCAACTGTTGTTCTTGCTTACCTGATGCTGAGAAAGTAAGGCTGCATAATAGTAACTTTGTTATGCCTTCGTTCTTGAAATTATAGTTATTGTATTACTTTCAAGAAACTCGATAATATACTATTTATATTTCCTTTATGGGTGAATGCCACATATCATTTTTTTTTTGCTGCTCAATGAGACTTCTTGACCTGCCCACTGTTTCATGCCCAGAAAATTCACTCTTCTGGAAGCATGGAACATGCTAAAGAAGGTGCACCGACGAGCGCACCCGAACGACGGCTTCGCCAAGGTCTTGTTGGATCTTGACAAGAAACTGCATGGTAAAATCTCCATGGAGTGGCACCACAGGAGGCCTGCAATGAAGGTGTGCCCCATCTGCGGCAAGAACGCTGGGCTCAGCAGCAGCTCACTGAAGCTCCACCTGCAGAAGGCGCACCGGAAGATATCGTCGGGGAGCGTCGACACCGCCATGAGTCTGGAGATCCAGAAGGCGGTGGAGGCGATCAAGGCTGGGCGTGGCGGCGGTGACAGCCCGACGCATAGCGCTGAGAAGGTTACTTCCTGAACTCTTTGTGATGCTAGGGCTGGTGATGTTCGCTGAGCCACAGCTTGCATCACATCCTGCATCTCCCAGATCATGCGGCAATGTGTTACTTCACTTTATGAGCAAAACTGTACTACACCTGAAATTTTGACCAAATTATATATATATAGGGGTTGTTCAGATTGTAGCCTAAATAAACCTTACCAAATTTTGGCATTGGCAAGTTGACAATATTACCAAAATTTTGACAAGATTCCTTATGTATTTACCAAATTTTGACAACAAACTAAATGTAGGCACTTTTTTGGCAACCTTGTTAAAAATTGGTATGGTTGAAAATGGCATCAATCTAAACAGCCCCTAGAATACGATTTGTGCAGTGAGATGCCGAATTAGAGATGATTAGCATGATTCCGAAAGATTTTTCGCTTTTATCTCAACTTGTTCACCTGCACAAGTTTCCTTTTGTGGCTGAGTAAAAGAGCCTGTCTTAACTTCAGCGTTGTCTAATTTTGGTCCATGGTTCTGAGCAACGTGGCCTGTACAACAATAGTGATTCAGGTCTGGCTTGGCGATGGGCCTGATGTAGGCATGTAGCCACAACACTGGCAGTTCAGTAGCTTAACATGTTGGGACAGTTTATGCATCTCTGGAAACATAATTGTAGCAATACTATCACTCAAGTGAAGAAATGCACAAGATGAATCTTATCAGTGAAGTGAAACATGTGTATTCTGGAACTGAAGTTTGCACCACTGAACCGGTGAACCCTTCAGAATTACAATGTACACAAAGGAATGGAAACTTTTACTCAACAAAAAGTACAAAAAAACTGCACATCCTTGGTCAAAAGAACAAACAAAAAGCAAGCCCTTTTGTGGTGGAATGTTAAGTTTCTGTTGTTATAAACCATATTTTACAACCATAATCAGATCTGTATCAAAGATCAACACCATTAGTGAAATGACAACTCAAAACTAATCCTGTACAAGCCATGATAGGAATCATCTCCAATTCTCCATCGGGGCTTAAGGTATAAGAGCTTTCCTGTACAACTCATCCTTGCCATCAGCAGGTGAATACTTCATAAGCATCACCCTGTTAGACGCTGTTTCTGCAGAGCTTAATACATGCGCTGCATTCCGATACCACGGTTGCAAATGAGGATCAAGAGAAGGTGAGTTTGGGAGCATCACTGAACCCCAGTCTCTCTGCCCAACCTTCGCTTCACATATTCTTCGTCGTACCAAAAGCCCAGATACATCTTCTCTCCTAATCTCTGTCATGGTTCGTGCGATTGCCATGCACAGGAGAAGCACAAAAACTGCATCCTCTTCAGGTAAGAATTCTACCGCAAGTAGTTTCCAGTTGAGGAGCATAGTTGCTCTGTCACCTAGATGATCAGGTGATGTACGAACTAGGGTAAGGTATTCCTCCTCATCATTGCGGTCATTTAATGTGCTTTCCTTGTTTATTCTGTAGTTCAATCTCCTCCCTACAAGAAGCCTTGCCTGGTAATATGGTTCATTGCAATGCAGTTAGAATGAAAGCCAAGATACTCCATTCTAAATCCAATTCCACACAGAATGCGCAGAGACGGAGGAGCTTATGACACCATACCTCTTCTCCTGAGCTTTCATTTCGAATATGGAAGTTTAAGTCATCTCCCAACTTTACCGTCAGTACATCTCCAGTTGAAAAGCGCCAAACCACCTTGCTGTCCTGTTGATCTTTTTCTGGGGTTGCTGTTCCCACCACCTTCTCTGCACCACAAAGTGAAAGCAATAAGCATCTGCTCTTAAGACAAGATATGATACGTACCAAACCAGAACCAATTATTTTGCATACTGAAGTTACCAGGAGCATAACCGACGGAGCTTGCATTTGCAATGTATGACCATGAACCCTCTCTAATCTCAATGATTCTGTCCTCCCATTTCACTGCTATGGGAGTTTCAGCACCTCTCCGCCAAATCCCTCTGCCTATTCTACATAAGTTGCAGCTAAGTTCAGTGGAAGCATATTAAGATATAGAAGAAAACATCATTCCCCCCCCTAAGATTAAGCATGCCAATGTCAAAATTCAGCATATGATCTCAACTTGATATAAACGGAAAATGTTTGTCTGGTTTGCATGGTTCATTTGGATATGATATAAATCAAAGACCATTTTGGGAATGCGGTAATTGCTAGCATGAACTCAAATGAACAAACAGAACATTTATTATCACTACTATGTAAAAGCAACTAGTAGTGGTAGTGAGCCTATCATCCCACCTCTTGAGTCAGTAGGATCTTTGTGGACAACTGGTCATTTACAGATGTGGTTTGTAATAATATTATTTGTTGTTATATACACAACATTTTTATGTTTATAATTTATGATATATTTGTTTGAAACCTGTTGCAATGCACGGGATAGTCCATCAAGAAAAACTTCAGCAGTAGAATCTGAAGGTGTATCAAATGCATTTTACTGGCGCATTTTCCTGAACAGTACCTTATCCGAATGACAAAACATTCTTTCCTACTATGATCAAGCACCGTGCGAGTCAGCCATCGTCCTTCTTGTGGACGGTAACCTTTTGTCCGCAATATGACATCAGAAATCATAGCCCCACCATCATCGGTAACTCGGTCAGGTACGCACTTCAACAAGTATGGTGCTTGAACCGGAGGGGTGATTGATGCCATTGCTTTCATCCTAACATCAAGCTCCTCTGTAAGCATGAGGGATTTCTCATGCAACATATCACTCCATGAGAATGAGATGTTCTTGATGAGCTTGCTGTTCCTGAAGCACCCACTTGTGCTGCGTCTGACCTCAATGATGAGGCCTCTTGTTGAAAACTCACAATATAGGTGCCATGTTTTTTGCCAGTTTTTGCAGGATAAATTGAACAGTGGTATGTTGAGCTTTAGTGATCTGTAACACCTCTGTGTCCGCAAACGTAAGAATTCCTTACTGGTGTGTTCACTGTCAAATTCTCCTTTCAGGAACACATATACCTGCAATCAAGAATAATTTATATCATATTACCAATATATAAGGAATATATTAGTTACGATAGAAAGACAAAACATTTTGTGAGAATTCCCTTGCATGATCATATAACGAATTTAGAAGGAAAACTTCATTTTACTCTTAAGGAGGTACACTATGTCTTATTTAGATTTTTTTCGAATTTTCAGTGGGTGTGTGAGCTGAAGTTAGCATCAAACCATTTGTAAGAAGTTTGAGACTTTCAGGCTGTTTCTGATATGTATATTTTTTTAAGCAATGAAAACTACAAAAGGGTGTTTGTGTTTTCCTCGAAGAGTATCCCGCGATTATAAAGCGGTTGCAATTGCTAATGGCTAGAGGGAAATAAACTCATCAAATGGTTGAAAAAGTCTGCACTAGTCCTGTATAAGGATAGCATAGAAGCACATCTAATATCAATTTTGAGTGTGGAAATTGTAGTTATAGAACCTTTTGGTCAGATATTATATCGATGTTAAAATCATTATATCTGGTACAAGGCTTAATGGCCACAACAAAGTAAATAAATGAACATGATTAGCCAGTTACTCAGTACACCAACTACTTGAGGAATCAACAATAGGAAATCTTGCATTTCGGGTGGAAATGATCAGAGTTCACATGCGTGGTAAAATTCACTACTGCCTTTTTCCATATTGTTGTTGGCACTACTGCACTACACTGTGATGCCTCTAGGACCTTATTTTCCATTCTATGAGATAAGAAAATGTCAAGCATAAGTTCTTTTTTCTCTGGAGGATAAACAAATGAAATGAAGCATTTGCAGATTAGAAAAAATATTAAATGCCAGGGTAAGTGAATGATCCTAATCCCTAGAAAAAATGTTTGGGGTTAGCCTTGGATATACCTCCATAATGAACCTAGGTTGCAGCCCTTTGTACAGTCGATTAGCATCCTCTTCTGATGCTGCTGTCTCCCAATAGAATGCTTCTCTCGCTGCATCAACTTCTGCTTTATCAATCTCTGATCCAGCCATATCGTATGGTTCATCGTATGCCTCCTCCCACAATACCCTTGTTCTCTCCACCATCTCTTCACTCACCACTTCCCCATAACCCACAACTATTTTTGCAACATTATCCTTGACGGCCATCGCTGCCATGTCTGCGTAATAGCTCACTGGGAAACTCTGCGAAGGATACATAATAACAGTGTCAATTAAAACATCCATAATGCATTGTTTTGCTTCATAGGATGCCATGCCTATGCATACCTGGTGAGCAAGCCACATTAGCAGTATGTCCAGGCTAGGCACCAGCCGCGTGTTTCCTTGGGTTGTACTCACAATTTTCTTGATAAGTTCAAGGAAACGCATGTATCTCCGCCTAGCAGCAACATGATAGACACCTTCTGAGATGAAGGGTGAGGCAAAGCGGGCTGCTAGGCCAGTATATCTTTGAACCATTTCGATAATTTCACTAGCAGATTTGTCATTACTACTGTTTCCTTCAGTTTCATTATCTTCAAGATCAAATGGCTCCGATGGATAGTGTGCAGCCCAGACATCCCGACAGTGGTCAGCGGCATATTCTTCATTATCAGCATCAAGGATCGACGGACGGTTGATGAGGCGTCCAAACCTTGATGCACAGTAAGCAGCATAGCTCTCCTGGGGAACAGGAGAAAACTTGAGATGGCGCATTTCATGTGAAAGTTTCATAAGCCACAATCACAGTATAAGTGATATATATGAATTTCCAAAATTGTGGGACTTTTTGTACAGAAATTATGTACAGTCCAGAGATTTATCTGAAAACATAGAATTTCCGTAAGAGTAAGCACGGCAGACGGCATGGTGAATATACCATTACTGATTTTTTTTCCCAATACGGTGTTTCTAAACACAGTGAAATACTGAAATGTCTAATTTTTCTTCTCAAGATCACACTTACTAAATGACATTGGGCACAACCACTATATATATATATTGATTAAACAAGGTGAGCTTTGGATCGGTGAAGATATCTCTACGTAATCGAGCATTTAGTCCCCAAAGATCTGACGCATTTACTGAAGCGGCCAAGGTGGCAGGCAGGTAAAGCTCTCACATGGTGGAAGCAGTGGCAGAGCCAGACGAGCCGCACGTCGGGCGGCGGCACCAGCATCGGCGCCTCCCCTCCCGCCCCCTCCGCCGCCACGAGCGGCATCCACAGCTCCTCGTACCTCCGCACGGACCGCGGCCCCACCACCCCAGCTCCACCCCGCTCCCCGTCCCCGGAGCGGAGGAGCGCGAGCAGCCGGCGCGCGGCCGCCACGAGGTCGACGGAGAAGGAGAACGCGGGCCCCGCCGCCTCCCGCTCCCGCCCGCCGGGGCCGGACATCGCCGCGGAAGGTGGTGGCGAGGCGTGGGCGTGGGCGTGGGCGTGGGCGTGGCGTGGCGCGTCACAGCTCTGCAGGTGGTATGCGGTGGCGGTGGGCGCGCGGCGCGGCCGCTAGTGCGGAGCGGTTGGTCAAAAGCGTAAGAGAGAGAGAGAGCAGGTGCGTGTACTGGGCTACACGACGGCGAGAGGGGATGAATTATTGGTGTTGCTTTTTGATGGGACGGATCGGGAGAGACGACCATCTCGATCTGGTACGAGACGTACAGTAGTACGTGCCGGAGAATGATTTGATTAGGCAAGAGGCGGGCGGACGTCGATCGGTCGGTATCGTTGGTGTTTTGACTTGTTTTGGAGCGAACTTTCCGGGGCGGCCACAAATCGGACACTCCCCCCACCCATCCTGCACGTATAGCCGTCCGATCCGATAAGACCGGGTCTAGGTCGAGGTCAGTCGCACGTCGGGCCGTGTCATGCCAGCCCACAAGCACACACATGGCCCAGGCACGACCTAATAGGACTCGGCCCATACCGGGCCGGACCGAAGACATGATAGTCATAATAAAGTGAACAGTTCAAAGGACAATATGAAATCATCTAGACATATCAAAAGAAGACTAAAATCTGCCAAAAAGCAGAAAAACTCCGGAGTGATAGCATTGGACTATGTCCAAACGGCTAAAAATTTGACAGATCAGTTTACCAAGGGGCTACCATGTAATGTGATAGACAGTGCATCGAGGGAAATGGGCTTGATACCCACCTAAGGTTGCACAATAGTGGAAACCTATCCATTGTGATCGGAGATCTCGTGAATTTGGATGGCGAAACAAACTATTGTGTGGCTGAGAGAAGAGACTCTTGAAAAGGGCTCATTTTCATGATGTACTTCTCTTCTACTCTGCATGGTAGGATGGCTTATGCCTTAATGTGATCCGAGTAGCTTTTCTAAGCAGAGATGTTGACCTGCAGAACATCTCAGAAGGAACACACCTATATGAGTTCGACTGCTAGTCACAGTCTATGAGATTTGGGCTATCTTTAGATACTCATGAAAGGGCCTGGAGTTTGACTTATATACTCCAAACATAGGGGATGCAAACGGCAGCCCAGTACCAATCAAGGGTTTGAGTGAAACCTGATCACATAAGACTGACAATTCAAGGCATAGTCCATTGTTTAGTTGTGGTTTGATGTAGCTCATTTCCTAGGTGGAAGTTCAACTTAACAGTCTCCACCAAAACACTGGTATATCAAACAGGCACAACTTTGAGAACATTTCTTATGAGCCATGAAATTTGGTGGGGATTGTTAGAATAAATGGGCTAGACCCGATTTTTCTATTAAATCTTAAGGGCCCATAATAAATGTTAAGGATAATAATACCACCCTGGGAATTAAACGAGGAGTATCTCAACTTAAATAGGGAGTTATTGGAGGCTCCCTGTTGACCGGTTGAGTGGGGATCGGAAAGCCACGCGCGCGCGCGCCGAGCCGAGCCGGCCGGGCGGGCCGAACCGAGGGCGAGGGCTAGGGCGTGGGCGTGCAACCCCGCGTGGTTGCCTCTATAACGGGCAGGCGATTCAATACCCATTGATTGCGTCGTTACTACGGCAACGGGCAGATTTCTCTCCTGCGCCATAAGGAAAGAGGGAACCCGATCAGATCCCCTCGGTAGGCGATTCAATACCCATTGATCGTGTCGTTACTACGGCAACGGGCAAATTTCTCTCCTGCGCCATAAGGAAAGAGGGAACCCGATTAGCGATAGGCGATTCAATACCCATTAATCGTGTCGTTACTGCGGCAACGGGCAGATTTCTCTCCTGCACCATAAGGAAAGAGGGAACCCGATCAGATCCCCTCGGTTACTTTCCAAACACTGGTTCTTCGTCCTTCTCACGCTGCCACTGTCTATGCTGCTACTGTCTGCTTCCCCGGTTCTGATCGCTTGCGCGCACGAGATCGGAACGAGCAGGGCCTCCGGAACCACACATTCGCCTGAGATCTGCACCGGGTTGGCGGGTGATCAGGTTTTTGGGGAGTGCTTCCGCACGACTGCTCCTCGTTCTCTGTTCGTCTTCAACCCTTCGTCTGCATCACTCATGTCTACCGCACCTAGAGATGGCGCGCCGGGAGCGGGAGCCAGAGCTGGCGCACCGGGAGCTGGTGCACCGATCGACAACACCAACGGAGGCAGTTCTGCCTCACAATCCAGCGGTGGGACTTTCACAGAGTATAACCCTCTACTGTTATTTCGGTTTTTGATATTTCTGTTAGTCGCAATGCTATTGCGTTCTATGTATGATGATGATGCTTATTCTACCTTAAGCATGCTGCTGTTTATGTTTGATTTTATCACTAGATCACCTCACATTGTTCATGCCATGATTATTGTCTTAATATTTTGGATTAAAATATGCCGATATATGACTATATTTCCAGCAAAGATAAGAGTCAAATACAAATTATAGAGATAAGATATATTCTGGAGATAGAATCCTAGAAATAAATCTACTCTTACTTGTATTGTACTCTAAGTCTATCTCCTATGTACTCCTATATATACTCCATGATAGAGTCGATCTAATAGATAAGAAAACAATAAAATACAACAAATAGATTTTTCCACATAGTATCGGAGCCGAAGACCAACATTGTTTGATCCGTTTCTAAGTTACGAGGCTTCCGTTTCGTGTTAGAATAAGCCTGGTAGCTTGCAAGATGGGGCACACATTGAGGCCCACCAAAGATCCCCTTACCAATAACGCGGTGACTCTTGGAAGGAACAAGGAAGGGAACAGTAAAGTCGGAACATGGAACCGCACCTGAGAAAATTTTAGTCAAATTTGACTAAAATTTCTGAAAATTTAAAGTGACTGAAATATAGCAATCCTGTTATAGAATATATGAGAGCTCACATATGCTAAGGAGAAATTTTACAATCCTTAAAGAAAGTATTTCAAGGTAGTATCTAGAAGAGTTTTACATTAGAAAATGTGATACACCCCGGTGTCTTCTCAATAAAATTACCCTGTGCCAAGAATATTTGGTAATTCTGGCGAATGGTCTCCAAATCAAGTACAATTAGCCGAGACTATAATGCCTCTCATATCATTTTAACCAGGAATATAATACTTGCTACCAGTACAAATTAAACCATCGAAAAAACAAAATTTACAAAGTCAGTTAATTCGGCGGTAAGCGTGCCAACCTTTAAGCTGTAACAGGTGACAATATTGTGCACGCTTACTATTTGTCATCTGGCACTTGCTCTTGAACCATTTTTTCTTAGAGTTTCATCTGCCCGTGAAGTGAGATATCAGTATGCTCAGCAGTACTAACAGCATAATCGGTCGCAGTTGTATGGATATGGAGGCCTTGCGTCTGTTGACACTCATGCCTGGACGGTACTCGACGCCGATCAGTGGAAGGAAACACACGCAATATATCAGTACATAGAACATTATCACCGCGACACTCTTCAACAACACGTATATGATGGGAACCAAAAGACCAAGTTGCAAGGCAGTAGTGAGAACTGATGCGAATAAGCGAATTTGCGCAGAAATTCGGCTCACCCAACGAGGAAGTTGCAAGGCAATACTTGGAACTGATGTGAATAAGGAAATTTCTGCAGAAATTCGGAGCAGCTGCAGCAGAAGCGATGCATGGTGATCAGTGGTAGGCCTGAAGCTATCTTTTGGCCATTGCTTCAAGATCCACGAGCTGAAGTAGCACAGTCCCCCTGACAAGCCTGAGATGCCCCAAAAACTACTTCTCCAATAACCCTGCAGGATCGTCATCTCATCATATGTAGCCGCCCATGCCCACAGCAAGGAAACCGCGAAGAGGCAAATGATTTTGCACGCACGGGCATCGTGGGCATGGTTGAGGTGAACGGAGAACCATATGAGCAGGGCGACAAGCTCCGGCGTGCAGGCTAGCGCCATGCTCTTCGTCCCAAACCATTCTCCGGCCATGGTGTGCACCGACACTAGAATGAGGGCGATGCATGTCCTGTGCATCACTGGCAACACGCGTGATACGCCAGGATAGATCCCGGCTGGCACCGTGCGGGCGATTAGTGTCGCCAGAGCAACCATAGCGGAGCTGATGAACACCAGGAAATGAGAGACCAAAACACGATCTTGCTGCCAGGTTCCTCGGGCAAGCATCACGCCGGGTAGCTGCAGCCAAAACGGTAGCACCGCTACGATCAGCGTCAGCTGCTCTTCAGATTTACGCAAGACGCTGCTAGCTTTGGAAGCACCGGGGGAATCATGTCGAAGTTGCCTCCTGCAGGTTTCTTCTACCCAGAACTTGCGGCACAGAGCGCCGATGAACACAATCATGATAGCTGGGAACACGGCGAGGCTGATATACCTTGTGTTAATCAGGAGCAGGAACACGTAAGAAATCAGCACTATGCGGGCAGTGGTGATGTGCAACGCAACCCCGGAGCCATATTGCTGTTTGGGTTGAAGTATCCGGAAACGCATGCCATTTCCAATCACAGGAGTGATCATGCCGAGACAGAAAACAGCTATTGGCATCGCGGACCGTTTAGCCGTTTGCTCGGGCTCGCTGTGACTTGTTAGAAGAGGAATTATATAGTTGCCGACCGCTGATATCACTAGCGACAGGAAACCATGCACGAACAATCTTGTAATTGGCTTGATTCAAGCAGAAAAACAAACAAAAGAAATTCGTCAGTAAAAATGACCCCTAAGATAAACTGTATATAAATTCGCTTGAATCACTTGAGGTCACAGAGCGTATATATGATTATGACGAAAGTTGCTCACTGTCCTAAAAACTGCTCCTAGGCTCCTAGCTGCTACTGAATAAGGACCAGATCTGAGAACAAATGAGGATCTGAACAAGGACCTGAATTTGCCTTGAATCTATTACCTCTTTCATGTCCTCGTCGCTCTCTTCCTCTCTGGCTTCAGAAGATTGAGTGACTTCATCGCTCAATTTTTTTGACGACGATATCTCGGGCACGCTGAGTGCCTTCATTCCTCTCTATAGATCCGCTGTTTTTGGTTTTTGGTTGTGTGATCTTTCGAGCGCATATTAGTGCGTTGGTTGGGGTGAGGGATGAAAGAAGAAAAACGAAGAGATGGGAAGCTTCAAGCTTGAATTGTCCTCACCATGTCCATTTGAAGAACCTGTACCTGCTCATGGTTTGATCTAGCATATCCTTTTTGAGAAAAATTCTTATATGCCACTGAAAGTTCACCGGTTTCCCTATTTGCCATCGTACATTAGCTATTCCCGTATATGCCATCAAACGAAATTTTCATTCACCTATATGCCATCCATGTCACCCAAGAGTGACGTATATAGTGTTATTTCTTTTTGAAAAATGACAAAATTGCCCCTGGACTCCCTTTCATGCTATGTAAAGAACAAATCAGGATGTGTTACAGTTAAAAATATGACTATAACTTTAGCAATCATTTTTTATAAAACACACAACCAATGACGGATACAAAGTTTTATTTCTCTTCCATTTTTATAGTTTATTTATAGATTATAGAAAGAAATAGTTCGTATTCTTTTTTAAATGGCACTAAGAACAATAATTTAATTAGTTCTAATGTAATGTATCTCACTGGATGTAAGCATTCAGTTTAGGAAAAAAATCAATCTCTCCACTTAGCAAACTGATTGTGTGCCTAATTTATACGTAAAAATAGTTATGCTTAACTTAAAAAGTTAAAAAGTTAAGTGCTTAATTTAATCTCACCATGAAAGTAAGTAACTTCATGATACCGACATGAGTTGATTAACATCAAGAAATGCATCACCTTTGTTTATTCGTAGTAAGAAGACTAAGACAAAAGAAGGGAAAAGAAAGCTAAGGGTAATTTTGCACTTTCCTTGCCAACTAAAATAGTCAGATGGTGTGGATGGCATATGAGGAAATGAAGAAAATCATTTAGTGGCATGTACAGAGGAATAGCAAATTTTCAAGGGCATATGAGGAAACCGGTGAGCATTCAATGGTATATAAGGAATTCTCTCTAAGAAAATACTAGCATTCAAAGAATACAAAATAAGTTTAATTTTAGTATAGAATATAATAAAAATATTTCAATAAAAAACCCCGCACATATATATTTATAATAAAATTTCACTTACATTATAGAAGAAGGTGTTTTCTAGTTTGTCCAAAGGGAAGAATCCTGAAGTAAAAAAAAAAATGGTGGGAGGGCAGGTGGGGGTGGGGGTGGGTTTGATAGTCATTCAAAATGAGTGTCTTGATAGATGTCCAATATGTAGCATATGTAATTAAATTACTGAAACAACTCGTTTTCACGCTTTTCTGCTCTAATTTATCTAAGGTGGTGTCCTTCCGTTTGGATAGTGGCGGTCGCTGTCTCCACTGGTCTTATTCTGTGTTTTTCTACTAGTATCTTTTGAAGGGGTGCAGTGGAAATATTGGAGTATTTTGTGAAGAAAGGTGGGGCAATTATGGATATCCCAGTCAGTTTGTCCTTTTATTTGAATAATTTATCATAGGCTTCCTTTTGCCTCTCTGTCCGAAGACCTTGACTCAAGTACAGGGTGGCCAAACTCTTCCTCCATGTAAGCGCAACTCTATATGCATATATGATCTTCCCATGTAAGCCTGAGTCTCGAGGAGTTCGATGTCTTGCAGAACTCCCGTCATTTGTTTACGTGATACTTAGCTTTCGCTGAAGTCCTAAGCACAGGAAATCTGTGAGAACCGTGGAATATTTGCAACCATACTGTATGCGGTTGCTCTAAAGATAGCTTTCTACCAACGAAAGAGAAAGCAGAGTAATTCCGTACTGTATGCCTTTTTGTTTTTTTGCTATGTTTTCTGTGCATCACATGTTACTCTAGCTCATATATATAGTTTTAGTTTTCAGGTCTTAGTTCCGGAACGTATACAAGGACTGCATAACCTTAGTTTATTCTTCTTAAGATGTAGATCATCTTATAGGTCTCAACGCTCCACTCACAAGAAACGTAGGACCTACAAAGACTACGGTGAGCCCGGGACCCAGTATCAGACCGAGTCTGAGGCAAACCTTAGGCTACTTCTTAAGATGTAGATTTTATACGTCTCCACACTCCTCTTTCTAAAGTAGTGCGTGACTTGTATGGACTAAGATGAGCCCAAGACACAGGACAAGGCTGGGTCTGAGGCAGACCTTAGTTTATTCTTCTTAAGATATAGATCTTGTAGGTCCCTACGCTCCTCTTACCGAGAAACGTAGAACCTACAAGGACTGAGGTGAGCCCGGGACCCTGTACAAGACCGGGTCCGAGGCAGACCTTAAGCTACATTCATAAGATATAGATTTTATACGTCTCCACACTGCTCTTCCTAGAGTAGTGTGTGACTTGTATGGACTAAGGTGAGCCCGAGACCTAGGAAAAGGTCGGATCTGAGGCAGATCTTAGTTTATTCCTCTTAAGATGTAGATCTTTTAGGTCTTTACGCTCCTCTCACCGAGAAACGTAGGACCTACAAGGACTAAGGTGAGCTCGGGACCCAGGATAAGACCAGGTCCGAGATAGACCTTAGGCTACATTCATTCTTAAGATATGCTTTGGTGGACCTAGGTCCTAAAGCGAAACTAGCTAGGACCAAGACCAAACTTATACACAGAGTTTTGAGTCATTGTACTTTTGACATGTATCATTCCCCTTAAACCAAGGGGAGTGTCATAAACACAGACAAAGGTGGGCTCGAGACTCATCAAGGCAGGTCCCTAGCTACATCACCCTAGCGATGACTTTTTATTTTTAAGGATGATTTAATCATGCCATTTACCTTATTTATAATTGTTTTGCCAGGGAAATGGGTACCCTAGTTCCCATTTCACTGACACCAGCCGATGTCAATAGGGCTTTGAGCAACCGACTATATGTACAATCTAGATTCTGGCACTTGTGTAAATAATGATATAAAGACAATCGGCTAATGATAATGTGATAAAAACAAAAATACAATAGAAATCAATTGGTCAATAATGATATGATAGACTGATTGCTTGATCTGAAGGTTAAGCATACATCGGCTGGTGATCCGATGTCATTAAATTCACAAGATTAGATAATCATTGAAAACCTTTATTGTTATCAGCTAAAACCAACTTGTATGCAATCCTTGTACACCGATGCAACGTCCAAATAACTCATCAACTGAAACCCTGGTGAAACCCTTATTGGCAATCAAAGGCAGGTTAGTTTTTATGATTCTAAATATGACTTAGTAGGTCACACCCAATTGATGTAGCACTAAGTATGAAAAGAAGCATATAGTCTAAACAATCAAGTCTTTAACTGATTTTCAGGGTAGTGGATAGCTTAGATACATTGATACCAACAAAACCCTAGAAAAGATCTGGCCGATACAGGTAAATTGAGACATCGACTTAGATTAACTAAGATATATAATAAATAGATGTTTAGATCGACAAGATAAGAGTGTCGAGGCCCTAGCCCCGTCAATACAAACATCCATAACAAGCTTTACCCCTCGTCCGAGATCAAAGCCGATGCAGCCCAACTTAAAACTAGAACTCATCGAGAAAGACGAAAATAAAAATGGTGGCAATGCCCCAAAGTTGTATTGATCGAGCAATAAATTACAGGGACCCCAAGTATACATATTTATACCCATGGGTATATACTAGTCCTTAACAATACACAAACTTTCCTAAAGATGAAGTAAAAGATACAATTCCCGATCGGACTCTAAACAATCTTTTTCTCTAAAATAAAAGGAAACTAGCTGACTCTTCCTAATTAATAGATAAACTTCCATGTCACATCTTTCTTGACCGAATCCTCCAAGAATCTTACGGTTGGCGGCTGATAATTTCCATCGGCTCACTCCAGGACTCTGAAGCTGATACTGACTTTAAACCGATGACGACTTCGGGGTTTACCAAATTTTGATGTAAACACCATATGCAAAAAAAAAAGAAGCCGATTTTCATAGTCCTTTTCGTACATGTGGGCCGTCCAACCTCCTGCAAAAAATGATTTTGGCCGCATGCAAATGTTGATTTTGTAGTAATGAAAGTGTAAGTTTGATATTATGTATATGTGGCCTCCTCAAAGTGTAGAGCTGGACTAATGTGGATTTTGGAGGTAGTGTGCATTGAGAGTGCTCTAGAGTATAGTTCTGTATTACTTTATGATACTTCATTTCAAAACTAGGATGGTACCCGGAAGATAGCACGTAACTAATAACAACAGAAAACATTGGATTAATTCAGATTGTGAAGAAATTTCGAAGGAAACAACCAATTGTCCAAACGGAAGAATCCTGAAGTAAAAAAAAAGGTGTGGGTGGGTGGATGGGTGGGGTGAGGATTGGTTTGATAGTCATTCAAAATGAGAGTGTCTTGATCGATCTCCAATATGTAGCATGTGTAAATTATTGAAACAATTTGTTTTCATGCTTTTCTGCTCTAACTTATCTAAGGTGGTGCCTTTCCTTTTGAATTGTGGTAGTCGCTGTCTCCCCTTGTCTTATTGTGTGTTTTTTTTACCACCCCTCTGTTCCAAAATATAACTAGGAGCACCAAAATATAACTTTGATCAAATGAGACACTTCATAGTATTACGAATCTGTATAGGCTATGAAGCTCTAAACTACCTATTATCAAAAAGACACCTAGAATTCGTAATAAATAGACCAAAATCCTCTACACTATAAGTTAGAAAAGCTTTTTACAAGCGCTCGTTACAATTGGCCATGCAAACCAAAAGTCTATCGATAAATAGGAATACATTCTCACAAGCTCTCCCCTCGGAAAATAAATTTGTATCAAATTGGAACTAGTAACCAATCCCAATTTAGAAGTATATTGAAAAAGCATACATAAACAAAAAAAAATCTCAAATATCCCTGATAGTGAGACATATAATCATCACTATAAATAATAATTAAGATTTCCTATCCAGATTCGTAATATTATAAAGTGTCACATTCAGTTAAAGTGTTGCTCCCTCTGTCCCAAAATAAACCCAGCCATGAGTTTCTGTGTCTAATTTTAATCATCCGTCTTATTTTTTTAAAAAAAATAAAAAAATTAGTTACGCATAAAGTTCTATTCATGTTTTATAATTCATAAAAATATTATTTATAAAAAAATTCAAATAAGACGGATGATCAAAATTAGACACGAAAACTTATGGATGCGTTTATTTTAGGACAGAAGTAGCAATATCTTATGACGGAGGAAGCAGTATCTTTTCAAGGGGTGCAGTATTGCAGTGGAAATGTTGGAGTATTATTCTGTGAGGGGAGGCGGGCAATCATGGATATCCACAGTTTGTCCTTTTATTTGGATTGTTTATCCTATAGGCTTCCTTTTGCCTTCCTTGGCCGAAGACCTTGACTCAAGTACAGGGTGGCCAAACTCTTCCTCCATGTAAGCGCAACTCCAAATGCATATGATCGATCCCCAACTGAGTCTCTAGGAGTTCCATACCTTGCAGAACTCCCCTTATTTGTTTGCATATGATAGCTGATAGCTATCCCTGAAGTCCTAAGTATCTGCGAGAACCCTGGAATATTTGCAACCATTCTGTATGCGGTTGCTCTGAAGCCGTTTTCTGCCAACGACAGAGAAAGCAGAGTAATTCCTCTACTGTTTGCCTTTTTCTTTTTGTTGTGGTTTGTTTTTGTGCATCACATGTTATTCTAGCTCATATATGTTGTTTTAGTTTTCAGGTCCTACTTCCGGAACGTATCTAAGGACTGCATTTGTTCTGTTCCACTTAAAATGGTGAGCTGCTAGCAACAAATTAATACCATTTCCAATTTTCAGTTTGTTTTAAAATTGATTGTTTCAAAATTGAATGTTTTGGATGATCTAGTTAACCCATGCAATTGGCTTCGCTAGCAGTTCTCTTTCAAGTGCAAAGCCGCTAAGCAAATCTCCGATGTCTCTTTATTATGTTTCCAAGCCAGGAAATCATTTGAAAGAGATCTCCGCAACAACGTCACACTTTTTTATATATATTTTTCGGTCTAACCCACCTGCTTATTTATCATAATATTTTTTTTAGAAAATGGATTTAATGAAAATGTAAAGTGATGTAATGCAAAGTGATTTAATGAAAATCCATTTTCTAAAAAAAAAGGATATACACCGCCAATTTACCTTACATCACTTCACATTTCTTTTGAACGCACGTCACTGTACACTTGATCTGTGCCTTCTCGAAGTTAGTACAACGATTTGATTTTAGTTACATACATAATCCTCACTCCTCAGTCATTATTATCCTCTAAATGTCTTAGGACTGCAAGGACTCTCTGAAGAATCGCATCCGGATATTCACTGAAGCAGTAGTGGTCATGGTATGCCCAGTCCTTCTCTCGTTCGCGCTAAAGAAGGTGGACCTGACGGCCAATCGAAGCAAACAAATCGTGGACAGCATTTCCCCGATTGGAGCGTTAACTCTGGAAGCTGGCATACTCCCTTTCCTCGGCCTCTGCCTCTCCACGGTGCTCGGAGAGAGGCTCGCGTGGCTCGTATTGGCCTCGAAGCTGCTCATCCACCTATGTGTCATTCTCCTCATGGCTCTAGCCTTTGTGATTCTGCTGCTCATCAGCAAGAGTAACATTGTCTGCCTAAGCATCTGGATCCCCTTCGTCCCCTTCATCCTATGGCTAGGCTACAACTCCGTGAAGGATGAGGAGCATGAGAACGCCGACGACGCCACGAAATCAGCCCACCACGGGAAGCTGGAAATCTCGGTTGATTTCTCTGCTAGTATCACCTCCCTTCTGTTCCTGGGATTAAAAGGTCTTGCGTTGGAGGGACAGGCCAGCGCCATCAAGGGGCTGGATGCTCACCTTTCCGACTCCCTCATCGTCAGTTTCGTGACCTGCGTCCTGGGTGTAGTCTTCATGCTTGTTGGAACGGCTCCACCGGTGTACGGCATGGGCCGCTTGGTGGATTCCTTGAGGATCTTGGATACCTCTCTGGCAATAGCGTTCGGGGTGATCGTCGTGCTAATCACAATTGCACCTCTGAAGGAGGCGGCGTGGTTAGTATCCATCCCGTGGATCCTTTCCTTTTTCGTGTGGTTGTTCATCCGTTTGTTCGACCACGACGAGGGAGAGGACAGGGATGTGAAGCCGGTGTCTCTAGAGCTGACCAAGGCCGCGTTCACAGGGTTCTTGGCCGTCTCCATACCGAGCTTCAGCAATAGCTCCACCAGCGGCGGCTACACCCACGCTTTCATAGTGCTTACTGGGTCAGCTGTCCTCGCTGGCCTCGCGTGGAGGCTGATCACGCACGTGAAGAAGCCGTCGCGAGCCATGGTCTGGGCTGAAAATGTAGCTTCTTCGTGTGCGCACATCTGTGTTGCGGCGGCTGTTGTTCCATTTGCAAGCATATCCATGACGGTGCTCAGGTCTCTCGAAAGTTAGATAACTTTCTACTCCCTCCGTCCCATTTTAAGTACAGCTATGATTTTCCGCGCCTAATTTTAACCGTTCGTCTTATTTAATTTTTTTTAAAATTTAAAAATATAAGTCACGAGTAAAGTACTATTCATGTTTTACCATCTCATAATAACAAAAATAGCAATTATAAAAAAAATTAAATAAGATGGACGATTAAAGTTGAGCGCGGAAAGTTATGGTTGTATTTAAAATGGGACGGAGGGAGTAATAACATATTTGCTTAGATCCATCAAAAAGTACCACGAGGTACCTCATGGGACTAAATTGTTTTCGATCGTTGGATCTAACTGGGTAAGATAGACATTGTTAGATCCAACGATCGAAAACGATTTAGCACCATGAGGTACCAGTACCTCGAGATACTTTTGATTGGACAAGAACAAATCTCAATTATAAAAGTAAATCTAGCCTCTACAGCTAAACATGTATCTGTGGCCGGCTCACATAAGTTAGTGGGGCTCAGCATTTGTAACGTTACTCAATAAGGTCCTCCCACCGTATTTTAATGTATAATGTTGTTGACTTTTGATCAACGTTTGGCATTCATCTTACTAAAAAACTTATGTAATTATCTTTTATTTTATTGTGAATTAATTTATCATTAAATGTTTTTTAATATGACATAAATATTTTTATATTTACACAAAAATTTTGACCATGGAAGCTAGCAATTATATATGCCCATGGAATCTAAGCCTGACTCGATCGGACGTCTCCACCCACTACCCAGTGGCATATGGTACCGGGGCGTGGGGTCTAACACCCATGGAATTTCAAATCTAAAATCTAGAAATTAAGTTTGAAACTATCAAAAACATTCCAAACTTGCATATCATGTTGAGCCTTCCTGGATTTTACTTTATTTTTTACTGGTACCAAAGTTCAAATTAATTCAAAATAACATAAAGCGAAAATCTTAATTAAACTCTGGATTTTCAAACCTAAACCTAAGTCTAATTATCCTGGGGTTCGATCAATATCTCCTCTCCCTACCTTTTTCTCTCCCCTTCCTGGCCCAGCCCAACTCAGCCAGCTACGTCCCTCCCTCCTTTCTGCCCGAACTAGGCCAGCCCAAAACATCCTCGCTCTCCATCGGCTCAAGCCAGCCCAGGCCATTCCGTCCTACCTCTCCTCTCTTCTCCCCACCTCACCTCCAAGCGAGATTGCTATTGGGCGATCAGTCGCGCGCCTCCCTTCCCACGCGACTGGACACGTGTCGCGCACGAGTGGGGGGGGGGGGGGGCGGCGACACGCCGGAGGGAGGAGCGAGTTTTTCGTTTTTTTTTTGTTTTTTTCCCCTTTTTCGTTTAGGTTCGATTGATTTTTTCACCGATTTTTTCGTTTCTATTTGGTTTTTTTTACTCCGGTTTTTTGTCTGTTCGGTTTGTTATTTTTCCGGTTTCTCTTCTATTCGGCTTTTTTTCCTTTTTTTCAAGATGTATAAATACCAAGTTTGTATTTGTATATATACCATGTTTGTATTCGTACATATAGAATATTTGTATACGCGCATACAAACTTTCTATGCGCGTATACAAACTTTCTATACACGCATATATAAAGTTTGTATACACATATACAAAGTTTATGTACGCGTATACAAACTTTCTATACGCATATACAAAGTTTGTATACACATATACAAAGTTTATTTACGCGTATACAAACTTTATATTCATGATGTATATTTTATTATTTTTTTATTTTTTATGCGTATATAAACTTTGTGGGTGTATATATTTTTTATGCATTGAAATATATTCATACAAATATATATATAGTATATACATACGATGCATATAGTAGTACATATGAAAGACTAGAGGGGGAAGGGGGCGACTGACCGCGCCTCCGCACGCGCGGGGCTGATCGCGTATCAGCCCCTCCTCCCCCCCCCCAAGCCCCAATACTAGCTGACATAAGTGTTAAGAAAGTAGATAAAAATAATTGGAGAAAGTGTGTGATTAGTTAAAAAAAAGTAGATAAAAGATAATGGTTGTGATTGGTTGAGAGTAATAAGTAGGTGGAGAAATAGTTTTATTTCAAGACAACATACTCTGCTAGAAAAAATTACATTTTAGGACGGATGTATTAGCTCACAACCAAGCGGCCTGACAGCCACTGCGCGGCACAGCTTGGTCACCGCTGTCACCCATCTCCTCCTCGAGCTAGCATGCGCTCGCCGGTCCAAGCGGCACCCCACCTCCCTCATCGTCGGAGAACACCAAGCTGCCTGCATCAGTGCTTGTCCGCCTCGTCGCCGTCACCATCGTTTCTTTTTAACTGCAACTTTAGACCTTCACCCTATTATTTCAGTACTAGCTCATCTCACACTATTAATATATTTTTTAATGATAAAATATAAATTCCAGTCGAAACTACAACCATATATTACAAAAATCTTCAAAGAGAGCCAATAGTAGTATTAAAAATTATTTAAACTTTTAAATATCTATTATATACCAAAATCTCATTAAACTTCCTATAAATATTTTCAATATATCATGTGAGACTCCTACAAATATTCTTAAACCGACGTAACACTCTAATAAATCAATCAGAGAAAATACAAAAAAAATTGAGAAAAAAAGAAAAAAAACAGATGTTCCTTGATTTTCACTTAAATATGTGGGTTCAATATTTTAAATCGTTAGATTAGATTAGATGGATTAAAACAATCTGGAGAATTAACCCCACCCTGCAGTCGGTAAGATATTATTGAATATTAAGATATATGCTGCACGTCTGTTAGAGGGAGATAGTGTTGGGAAGGAAGTAAGAGGTTCATGCTAGGGAGGGCCATCGATGATAGCAGTGAATGTTTACTATGCTATTGCTAAGTTGATCAGCTCAAAAAATGCTACTTACGTTACGTGAATGGACTGCAAATAATTTGTTGATGGACGTGCACCCGCGTAGGGTATGTATAATTAACACGTGCATCAAAACTAAAACAAGACTAAATGAGCAGTGCCAAATAAATTGGACGAACCTACCGCTCGGGCGGCTGATCGGTTAGGAGCAAAATCGGGTGCTGATGTCAGTACCTGATTTACGTGCAAAAATACTTTAAACTGATTTTTCTCCTAAATTACTTTTGATCCGATTACACCATTAAATTCATTGCAATTAAATCTTCAAAACAAGACCACACATGGATATATTCTTACGAAAAATTTTTTTTGTTTATTATTGAATTATTTTTAAATGTTGCGCGATGTTCCACCAGGTATATCAGAATTATTTCACTAAGTAGATCGAAAATGTTTCACTCGTTTAAATCGGCTGTAGTTTCATCTTATATAAAAACAATGTTTCAGCAAATAGCGAAAGAATGTTTCAATTCACTGCAACATTAGATCTATACACAGTGAAACATTGTGAGTACACTAAGTGAAATATTTTTTGGTGGAACAAAAAATAAACCGAATTCCCTTAATAGGTAGTTTCTAAAATATGTGGGTTTTTTGCAATGGAATGTTTCGTTAACTGCAACATCAGATCTATACATAGTGAAACATTGTGAGTACACAAGGTGAAATATTTTTTGTGGAACAAAAAAATAAACCAAATTCCCTTAATAGAGAGTTTCCAAAATATGTGAGTTTTTTGTTGTAAAAGAATATTTTAATTCACTGCAACATTAGATTTATAAATAGTGAAACATTGTAAGTACACTAGGTAAAACATCTTTTATGAAAAAAGGGAAGAGAGAAGTAGATGGACCCAATAGATGTGCACGCGGGGGAGGAGCGCGCGGGGGGAGCGCCCGATCCGGCACCCCCACGCCGGTCGCCCGACTCTAATCATTTTCGAAATAAATTAGGAGAAATATATATTTCACTGAACATACAAAGGCAAGTTATTATGTCCAACAATACAGATGCATAAAAAATTATATAACCTATATATGGGACCTCTACCATATATAGATTATAGATTATATATATGTTTAACCCTTCAATTTCACAGCGTTAGATATATAAAATATAACCAAAATATATTTAAAATAAATCATCTAAAATTATATTTTTATTTTTCACAGTAAAAATTATGACATTTAAATAAGATTTGTGAAACATTAAAAAAAGTCTGAAATTTCTTACAAAATAGATGATGGCTTCAATGCTTATCCTATGGAGATCACATGCCACATGGCGCATGCGTTCCAAATAGCTGTACGCCCGTATCACATCACTAACCAGCATCTGTGGCTAGGGATGGCAATTTCCCCCACGAGGTCGGGGTTGGGTCGAGTTTCTACCCCCCTCCCCCTTCCCTCTGCAGAGTTGGGTCCACGGCCCGCAATTGGGCGGGTGAGTCATTCCATCCGCCGGTGACTCATGGGGCCCCGGAGAATGTAGATTAGACTTATAAATATACTGCCAACCCCAAATATAACCCATTAGACCCAACCCAACTTGGTGAAAACCTAACCCTAATACACCTCTACGGCTCTACCACCCACCTCTAGATTAGACTCTCCCTCCTCACTCCTCAGCCGCCGCCGCCGCCAGTGCGCTGGTGCGCCCCTTCCTAGAAACGTGCCAATCCCCTCCGCTCTCCATCATCCTTTCGACTCCGGTCGCACGCGGTCCGTGGGCATGTGCCCCTCTTCCTCTCCAACCTGTCTCCATGTGGCGGCGCGTGGACGGCATGCAGCGCTATGGCAACGTGTGGAGGATGGGCGAGCAGAGCGCAGGCGGCACAAGGGCGGTGCGGAGGCGCGGCGAGCGTGTTACATGCAGGCAGCATGAGGGAGGCGCGCAGGTGCGACGACCTAGCTACCGGTGAGAGGGCAGCACGGGGGGCATGAGGGCGGCGCGCGGGTGTGGTGAGCCTCCTGCATGCCTCCGCACTTGGCGATTGCGGGGCCTCGAAGGGGTCAGCACCGGGTGTTGATTTAGCCGCACAACTCTAGTCGGGGCCCGGGCCGTGTGGAGAAGTCGGTGGTCTGGGGCGGGGGCATTCCAGCCCGACCTGCCCCGTTGCCAACCCTAATTTAAAATTTTAATAGTAACAGAACTTAGAGTAAATTTCATTTTGTGCCACCTTTTATTGCTGATGTTTTATTTTGGACCACCCATCAACCAATATTTTCAGTTTGGATTACGTGATTTTATCTCTGTGGTACTTTGGACCACCCTCTCTCTTTTATCCATTACATCTAACACTGGTAGAGAAACCCTTTGTAGTCCCGGTTCGTAACCCCCCTTTAGTCCCGGTTTCCAAACCGGGAGTACCAATCCGGGACTAAAGATCGCTATCTTTAGTCCCGGGTGAAATAACCGGGAGTAAAGATCGATCTTTAGTCCCGGTTGGTAACACCAACCGGGACTAAAGATCGAGCTGACCTTTTTTTTTTTGCATGGCCCTGTTGCTGCATGGTTTATATATAATATAAACCATGCATATATATGTTTCAATACATATATATGCATACATATATATATATATATATGTATATATATATTATATTATATTATATGTATATACATGCATAATATATATGTATTTATACATATATATGTTA